GGTCTCATGATCCGCAGAGGGTGGGAATGGGAAAGCGCCTGCCAGAACCCATGTCACATCGTCGATCCGCCCATCATGGCCCAGTAAAGAAGCAGCATGCGGCAATCCAGCTTGACAATGCAGGAGGTGGTATTCTCCGCCAAAGCGAAAAGTCATCTACCATAGTTGCACATTCCCGTGTCAGGAGATTCTGGAAGCTGCCCTCGTTGACTCACACTATGAGACTTTGACTTGAAGCCTCTTCCTTGTTGTGTACGCCTTTGTATCCGCCAAGTTCTGGGCACGCGTTCCTGATGTTTCCGGCCGTACCGATTGAGCCGTGTAGTTAAAGTAGTGAGATTGCCGGAGAGAAGCGTCTTCTCTTCACGGCTAGATGGGCTGTTCTATCCCACCAAGTTTCACCCTGTTTCACCCCAGCCAGAACTGGGCGGCCGAAGTGACTGGGCCGTTTTGGAGAAGCACAATGCAAGCCTCACGCTCTGAAACAGTCACAGGCTGGGGAAAGTCACTGCCCCGAACCTACCAAGCCACAGCTGCCTTGGCGGCCCATGATCGAGATGCACGATTGCCGGTTTGGGCCCTGCCATGTGATCAAATGAAAGGGTGTGGAGGGCCTCGATCCGGTAACCCATGTTCTTGCCTCGTCCGTGGTCAGTGGCTGGCCAATGCTTCTGCCGTCCATGCTTGCTGATCTGAACCGAACCATTCCACTACCATCTCGCGGCAGCCATCCAAGCGACAACACAGAAAGTCCAACCACCTCCAAGGCTGACTTACATAGAAGCTGAGGCAAGTGAGACTATTGAAGTTTGTTCAGCTCACATCGATGGTCTGGGGATTTCCTGCCCATGGAATTACGTGCAGAATGCCAGGGTCAGGCAAACCAAAAACCTGATTTCCTCTCCGCTGTGCTGCATTGCTTGGCTCGTATGAAATCTAGTGTGTGATATTATTGAAATAGACGCCCGCTCGGTTTTTGCCCCCCCTTCTTTCTCAACTTGTATCATCACAACGCTCGACGAAGAGGGGAGGGGGTATAGCCCACGCCCTCCTTTCTCATCTCACAACACTCCTCAAGTACATCACCTGCTGACATAGATATCCCTACTAGCGTTATGGTGCAGCAGAGGATGAATCAATCTCCTCGGAAGGTTCTTGCACTTTGTACGCCTGTTCTTTCAGGGGCGTACCGAAGCATTTCGGTGCGTGGTACCGGACCCCTTTCGACCCCGTTTATGCGCAATTTGCCTCAGTTTATAGGTCATCATTACACGGTAGGAGTCAGCTTTTAAGTGTTTATAGCCAGGATTATGCACAGTCCCGAAGTGTTGTAAAATTATTGCCACACGGGTGTACGAACATGTAGATAAGCTCGATCTGACTGAACACTGCTTCCCAGCTCAACATGCAGGGTCACAACTTACCAAGTCATTGCATAATCAGAACTGATTCGTATTCACTTGGGGCTCAGTTGTGTTGTGATATGCATACATCGTCAATCAGGCGCTCCGAGCCGCCTGGATGTCCGAGCCAAACCAAGGTTGCACTTCGCGCGCGCCTACATTGCCTTTTTTGCTACTTGTACATTTACCGAGAGGATTTTAAGAGGATAATTTTGGTCTGATCCATCAGGCTAGTTTTTGCTATTCTCACGTAGCTTAGAATGCTGCAAATTTCCTGAATTCGCATGCTTGTAGCTATGGTCGATCAGCTTCACTGGATATCAATTCGAGGTCCCTTTTGATTCAGTTCCCAGTAGCGAGTACAAAACTTATACATGCCTTAAGTGTTTCAATGGTAAGTATTTCATGTTGAGACTGTATCTGGCGCTAGACTTTCAATGGCTGAAGTCGACAGTGGTCGTGGTCCCAGGGGCTGAGAAGTGGGATCGAGGCATGCCATGTTCGCAGGCGCTTGCTCGGCTTTACCTTCAGTAAAGAATTAAGTCAATAGACTTGAACTTGGAGACTTTATACTCACATCAGAGATAGGGTCCCCGTGTTTGATTGTGTCGATATTCATACAACATACGCTTACGCTTAATGCCACTTCGGATGGCGACTGGATTGTGGTACACGAGTACAATATTGCATTTTTCTGAGCTTTTATATCCTCAATATGCATGATCGCCTCAAGAGCTGATAGCGATAACTTGTTGCAATGTTTATATGTCTCTGTAGGCTGGTGGCTGACCAGAATAGACACTCTGGCGTATGAAAATGGGATACAATTTGTCGATTGCTCCAGGGTATTCCAGTCTCTGCTTCTGGTAAATGTCAATGCTGGATCTTACGCTCTTGATATTCTTATAGCATGAGGAATTGATAATGATAGAAATTCGCAATCCCATGGGTGTCTGTATAACAAGTTCCCTTTTCCCTCGAAACAGAACCGAGAGAAACGCCGTTGCTCATCACCCGTGGAGGGAGTCGACACTACGGGACTAGGTCACTTTATGCTGAGGCAACCATTCAGTGTTACGATACCATCTCAAATTGAGTAACGGCAATGGGATTCACTTCATTCGCCCGCCAGCATACTTGTGATGGCTGACGTATCCCAGTGGCCAAGTAGATCCTCCTAAAACAACCACCACACGTACATACGTTAACTTTTTCTACGCCCAGGTGTGGATGATACTTCGTTTCGAGGTTCACTCTGGGAAACGGCGAGAAAGAATACATCTTGGCACCAAGACTCAGCCTCCTTTTACTGTCGGGCCGCGCGTTGCTGAAGTCGAGGGTCGTCTGGGTGCAGTACCCCCGAGCTTTCTACGGCTGGAGAAACGTCAATCAAAGCCTCCATTGCTGTTGATACGTTACCAAGGTGCAGATACATTTCAGACCAACATTTCAGATTAGCCCTTCCAGATGGTGCATAGCACGGAAGTCAGACCACTGCGGCCAACTTTGTCCGGATAGATTCATGGGGAGAGTTGGACCATTCGTCCAACAAGGCCCAAAGCAGGTGGACGAACTTGGAGTGCTTTCCCTAGGAGGTCTACTGCGCCACGATGCCGCGCTTTTCATAACCGATAAGTGTGAAGAGGGAGGAGTCGATATCCCAAAGGATGGGTTACAATGGTATAGCTGGACGGCAAGAATGTACCGTACCATGGGTGTCAGGTAATCGACCAGCAATTATCCGAAGCGATCGTTCGTGTCCGGTTCGCCGGTCGAATCTGGCAGATGATGCGCACACATACATAATCCCTTGGACCAAGTCGTTGAACTTGTCCGACGTCCGATACCGCTGTTTCTGTTGAAGGTAATCGATAAGATACAGTAGTTGTACACTTTTCATCGCCTGTCCAGGTATATTTCCTCCTCGTCTTCGATGGCAATCTCGTAGGTCGGATCTAAAACAACGGAATTGAACCGTGATTGTCACGCATGCTCAAGTAACGTCTCCTCCTACATTCCATAGTCATGTTTGCCATCTCGAAAGCTTCTTTGTCGAAGGGATATAGGGTACTTCAGCATGGTCGCCAGTCATGAATTGTATCGAGCCTCCTCGATGTAGACAGATGATCGTTTCGCTCCACAGTCTGATCGAGCAGTCCCATGAAAATGAAAACAGGACTTCAGGACGTCCCTCGAGTCGCTACTTTGAAGAGGTATTGCGAAAAGACAAGTATGCGGAGAGAAGGATTGCGGTTTTCGTCGTCCATGAGAGGTTACTTTGTGACGTGGTGTCCCAGGGAGCAATTCACACCTCATATGTGTAGTTTCCGGAAGACCAAGCCTATGCACATCAAGATGGCATGATGATTTTTCGACTGGGACATGTGCAGCCGGATAATCCAACCTACCCAGAATTAGGCTTCGATACTCCTGTACCCTGCCGCCATAGCCATTGGCTAGCAAACAAAGTGCAAGCACATGTCAGCGTAACTGATCGTCTCTCAGCGTAGTGGTAGCATCCAGATAGCGATATGGGAGAAACAGTCCTGTCCATCACTGTCGTCGAATCCGCGAGGCAAGCTCTTCGAAATTCCCCACGTTTGCTCGTATCTCCCCATTTAAAGAGACATTCCACCGTGCTCGGTCAATCACCCCTTATCTCAGTCCACCGTATCGTCTTGCTGCTCGAACCGACTTCCCATTTCCGGCCGCCTTGCAAGACTAAGACGATCGCCAGGCCCACTTAGACGGGGACGTGCCCAATGGCACATAGTGAGCAATTATGAGTCATTTCGCGTCACTGTGACGGTGCAGCTGGCGTCTCCACCGAGGTGCATGATGGGACCCGAGCTTTGTAACTTGATCGCGGGTCGACGGCCGGGGGCTCCCCCACATCCGACGTGGAGGACGAGAGAGGATGATGGTGAGATGATGAGAGATGGCGACAGGAAGGATGCGGGCTCGGGGCCTCAAATGTACCCCGAGAGCTGTCTCTGGCCCATTCTGTGCCATGATGGCTCAGAATGAGCAGCTTGGGGGACGGCTCATCGTGAACCATCCGACATGATTGGAAATGAAGATATCGCGAGACTTGTCAAGGCGCTGGAATAGATATAAATGGATAGATTAGTATGGAATTTGTAGTGAATATTCATCCAGGAATCAATCAATCAATCCATTCAGCAACAATGAGAGAAGTCATTATAACCATGTTTGTTTAAAACGCAGGACGACCAGGTAAGAGAAGCACCATCAAGCCCAGATATCCAACGCCTCCGTGTCTCTCATGATGAGACTCCAAATTTGATCATTTTCACCATGAGAAAAATGAAACAACAAGGAAGAGAACGACATCGTCTGAAGAGCAGAGCACTTGTGGAGAAAGGACAATATCAAAGAATCAGTCAAAAAAGAAAATCAATTCGTCATTACAGTTGCTAACCCGGAAAGCGAGTTCTACCTTTTGTTTATGCGCCCATTACCCAACAGATATTTGAAGAGGAGTTATAATAAAGAAACAAGTCCCAGCAAGGGTGTCAGAGGTATATGTCCCACAATGAAAGATAACCGTGTTAACCACAGACCCTCCGCCCAAAATCACTTCTTAGCAGTCAGAACATCCCTCAGGGCATCAACCTCAGCCTCTCGTCGTGCAAGCTTCACGCGGAGGTCATCCCTGTCCGCAGTCATCTCGGCCAGCTGACGTTCGAGGTCAGCCATGCGGTCGAGACGCCGCTGGCGATAACGCCGCGCAGCCATAGTGTTGCGCTGGCGCTTGGCGCCGGCGTCCTCCTTGGAGGCTAAGGCATCATCCGAATGTGCTGAGGAATGAGATGGTGAAGTTTCAGGCCTGTAGGAGTTGGCGTTGGAGGTAGGCAAGTTCATGGTATAGGACAGAGCTGCGTTGGTGGTATGAGGTGGAGTGAGGTGACCAGTGGAGTGGGGATGAAGAGATGCATCAGTAAAGAGTTGGCTTGGCCCGTTGGACCCCATGGTCGTGTTCACAGTTGAAGAAAGGTCCAAGGGGCTGTCTCCGAACAGTTGAGACTGGTTTGGAAGAAGCTGAGTGCCAAGGGCGTCAAGACCGAGAGATGTCCAATCGAAGTCTTGAGGGGGCTCTGGGCAGTCGGGGTTCCAGATGTTTGGGTCAGAGTCCGTCAGGTAGTCACTGATAAGTGAGTCGTCAAGGAGGTCTTGGGGCTGGAGTTGAGGAAAGTGGAATGGTTGTTCTTGTTGGTGGGGTGAATGGCTCTGATATGTTTGCTGGGGGGATTGCTGCAATAATAAATCTCCGCCGCAACTACCAAGTTGAGACAGATTGCTGTGGTCGGTAGAACTCAGTCTTTCCGAGTGAAGCAACTGGGGCTGACGTGGAAGTGGAGGACTCCATGAGTGCAGAGTAGAGGGCCTGTCCGGTAAATTGGACAGGCTATGGTCTTGATTTATAAATTCAGAAGGTTGAAGAAGCACGACTAAGGCGGGGTGGCGGATGAGGAGAAGACCTACTCATCCGGCGAATGGATGGGATATGGAGAAAAGAAGGGAAGTGAAAGTTCGAGGTGGCGAGCCGGATGATTTATAGATGGGTGCCTGGTGGCCTTGGCCGGCCGAGTTGGTCGCACCTGCCGCGGAGTACCAAGTCTATTCTGCTGGACTGCTCTTGCCCGCAGTACCAATGTAACCGTCGGTGCGCAGGAGCGAGTGAGTGCTGGTGGGACGCAGCGGCACGGAGTGGGCGGGTGTCTGGGCTGATTGGGGCTGACGGGGCACCCCGCCATGGGCTCAGGGCTCGCACGCAGTGGACTTAGTGGCTGTAATTACACCGATGGTGGCATTGGCGGCCGCGCTAATGTATGAGTCACCGGCATGGATGTGCATTGGCCTGCATCTGTCTCAGCTCCTTTCGGTCTTTCGCTCTTTCGGCTGCCAACTGCATTCTCTGCTCGATTCGGTCTCTCGGTGCCAGCCCCATTTGCACAGCCAGAGCCAAAGATGACGACTGGAACCTTTGCTAGCCGTGAGATTGGAAGCTTCCACTTCCGATCGCACCCTCCATCTCATTCTGCAGATCCGTGAGACCTAGTGCAATCCAGTTCCTGAAGAAATAATCATGCACCGAGCAGACTAAATACGATATCTACCGACGCTTTTTCGGCACGACTTTGGGGTTTCTGGCAAGTGCCTGGAAGAGATGTTTGGCAAGGTTCAAATCTTAGCAAGAGACTTAATTAATTTACTGTTACCTCAAAGCACCTACCTAGTAATTGATCAGAAAGTGGGATCTTCTCAGATTGCTAATCCCATGTGCTACATAATGATACAGATCCCGAAGACATACCCTACACCAGGACTCTCGAGGAGAGAGCCCCGAACGTATTCAACTCTTTGCCCCCCATCATTTTCTTAGAGCAGTATAAATTCAAGATTGACGTATTCCATTCCTTTTTACAGCAGTAGCATCCTTATCTGGCCCCTTGGTGCTCTCGGTTCTGGCTGTTTGAGACGTGAAGTCTACAGCCATGTTCACCTCTTGGAAGATATACCTGATCTATTGAGCCCCGCGCTCTTGCATGCTACTAGGCCAAACACGAGCACATATTACATTGAAGGAGGACAGTACTAGATGTACCAAGTTTAGTGCTGTACGAGAGGGATAAGATGACGTTCTTGAAACTTGAAGTCATCTCGTGGGTTTTTCGAATCCGCTAGACAGCTCACATATTGCCATAACCATAAGTAACAAGATATATATGTTCTAAGTCTAGGTATCACGATTAGAGTTTCAGAAAGCCGAAGCGATAATTATATTTAGTAGGCCGCTCCAACACCGGGTATACCAAACCAACAATCCATTACCTTCCACTGAGGCGAATCTCCAACGCCCGCAGGGGGATATAAAGGAGTGCGCTCAGGATAAATGCAAACTCGAACCCGAGATCGCCAGTCGTCTGGGCGATGGGTCCAGTCCACCACACCTGCGCCATGGAGGGCACCACCAGCCCGAACGAGAGCACGCCGCTGCTGATGGCGGCGACACCCCACGGCAGCCTGGACGAGTCGCTCCAGATGGCGTGGTCGTATGCCTCCTCCCAGGACCGGCCGCGTCTCCTGCGGAAGACGACGTGCTCCATGGCGACGATGCCGAAGAAGGAGGCGGACCAGTACCCGATCAGGGCGACAAAGTTCTCGAGGCTGACAAAGAAGTTGTCGGAGACGGCGCGGACGGCGACGGGGATGACGATGGCGGTCACGATCAGGGCGAAGATGTAGCGGGGCACCTTGATCAGCCAGGGGAAGAGGGCCTGGAAGTTGAGCGTGATGGCGTACATGGTCCCCGCCGTGTTGCCCAGGAGCGTGAGGGAGAGGAGGGCGACGACGAACTTGCCAAAGTTGCCGGCCGAGGCGAGCATGGCGGCGAGGATTCCGCCGACGAGGGTCTCCTCGTAGCCCTTTTCCCAGGCGGGGACGTTGGGGAGGGCGCCGGCGATGGCAGCGCCGAAAGTCATGAGGAGGATGGTGGGCAGAGCGAGACCGGTATAGCTATAAGTAAAGACGCGCCACCTGAATCGGGTAAACCTCATGTTAGTCATTTCCATTGATCAACTTGGTTTTGAAGGGCCGGGGACGGGGAAGAAGGCTTACGACGAGACATTGGGGTCAAAGTACGTGGTCAAGTCACTGGCGATGGCAGCCCAAGGAAGCATGTAACTTGCAACAATCATGCCGTAGCTGATGACAGCGGGTGCGGTGGCTGGCTCCTCAGGCTCGGCCTGCTTCATCAGGTCCTTCCCACCGCACCCAGCTGCAATGGTGAGGGCGATGACGGCCGGGATAAAAGCATATGTCTCATAGTAGTGCAGGACACGGAAGCCGCAGAACGAGATGAGAAGTCCCAGCAGGGCAATGATGACGATGCCCGCGTTCGGGGTTAGGCTACCCTCCGAGATGGCAGACAGGCATTGACCACCAACAACACAAATGATGATGATGAACCCAGTCAAGGTGGCGAGATTGAGAATCACTGGTATGGAGACAAGGTACCGGCCGAAGCTGTACCTGGCCTGAATCATCTGCCTCATTCCCGTCTTGGGGCCCAGGGTTGCTAGATAGGCTGGGGCAACAGTGGAAAGAAGAGTGAAGAAGAGGATGACGAGTGACGAATCTCGTAGACTGAGGCCATAGACCATTGGTCCCAGGAGACCAAACAAGACGCTATGAAACCGTTAGAACCATCTCTTGATGATAACGCCGTGATGGGCCCATCCTCGCTCATCGGCCTAGGTAGCAGACTCACCCTAGGATATTTGTATTGATGGAAGTCCAGATAGTGAAGATATTCCAGTATCGGGTTGAGAGTCGGGCTTCCAGCGGCACGGGCTGAATACCTTTCGCCTCAACCCGGCCCATGCGCAGGACCCGATCCAGGACCTGCACTGCTCTGGAGGAGGAAGAGCTGCTGGGGCCCATGTATTTGTATTCCTCATCGCCATAAGAACCTTGGTTGGTGGTTTGTAAATGAGACGCGCCGCCTGCGCGATGCTCCAAGTCGGCTACCATGTTTCGCCTAATGGCCAATGCTGGCTTGAGATATTTTTGACGTAATTTTTGGAGGACGCTGATTAAGAAGTGTGTTGCACGGGAGAAAAAGGTCAGCCAACTCGACTGAGATGGACTGAGACAAGGCTGGGATGAAGTATCAGGGCCAATGCTATGCAAAAATTTCTCAAAAACGATGTGTGAGCTAGTGACTGATTCGAGACTCAGAACATCAGATCCGATCTGGTTTAAGGCTGATCACCACTAGGCAACGGGTTCGGTAAAGGGACCAAAGCTTATCGGCGAAAACCCTTACAAGCCACTAATGAACCATAAGCAGCAATGCAGTTGACGACGATGATGGGCAGGCCGGTAATATAAGAGTCAGGTCGTGACTCGTTGGCTTGTCCCGGCACCATATATCTACAAGCCAAGGCCGTCCCCGGTTGCGGGGGCCAATGACTGTGCTCTATTATCTACAAACAGTCACTCACTCGGAGTGCAGCCTCCATCGATTCTGCGCAGATTTTTTTTTCTCTCGCCCTTGAAATCCCTACTTGGCTGGATGGGGCAGTCCAGACTCCAGACTCGGAGGAGGCGCGGAGCCCCATTGGCTGCTTGTGCCGTTCGCTCCGCACCGGCATGCAAGCCGGATATCGCGGCGGAGTCTCTGTTGAGGCATTCCGGAGCCATTTCCCCTCACTCTTCTGGAACTATTCCTCGTGGCTTGTGCTGTTGATCGCGTAGAGGATGGTGGCTTGCAGAGAGACACGCCGAACTGCCTTCATTCCTCTAAGAGCTCCGGTGCTACTGTCACCTCCGGTCAGTGATGATGTGTGTAGCAAGCCGTTCTCTTCATGCTCATGTGCCTTCATGCAGGCCTGTTGCCGTTAGAGCAGATGGAAAACAGCGCATTACCACATCTGGCCATCTAGAACCCTCACTAATGCTGTCGATAGGGCGCATTAGACATGGCCCCCGACTAAATCGTATCATTACTGGACGGGCGTTGGGGGGAGCCAGCATTTTATACACAGCCAGAGAATATCAGCTCTTTCCTGTCTGCTGTCTTCCCCTAAAGAAACCACCGAGAGCGCCCATCAAGCCCGCTATTCCCTTCTCTTCCCCTCCGCTTGCTTGCATACCATTCTGGATCCACCCCGGCAGCTTGCCTCGAATCCTCTCCGTCCCGAACCTCCGATCCACCAGGATAATGGCTGCGTAGTCGCCCCGATGCCGAATCGCTCGCCCGATGCTCTGATTCACGGCGCGCATGCATGCGTTCTCGTAAAAGTCCCGACTCGCCTGCTTCGCTTGCGCTCTTGCTTCCTCCTGACCGACAGCCTTACCCTGGCCTGCTAATTTATGGCTATTATCCTCCCCGTTCGAATTAGTTAACCTATTAAAGACTGTTGTTTCGATGTATTCAAGTTTGGCCTTCCACTCCGGCGAGGCTATGTTTGGGTAAGGGAGCCCGACTACCATGACGCAACGTCCGAGCCTGTCCGAAAAGTTGATGCCTTCAGACATCTTCCCTCCCACAACACTTAGGAGCAGCGCCCCTTTCCCGTTGCTCTGCTCGCCCTGGATGGCCTGGGTATAGTCATTCAACACCTGGTCGCTCGAGCCACCTTTTGTCTCACGAAAGACCGCCTTTCGCCCCTGAAGGCGGGCCCATATCGACTGAGAGTTCGCACTTTGGCTTTGCTCCCAGGCTGCGACGACTTCATCAAGGTACCCATAACTGGGAAAGAAGACGACCACGCCATCAGGGACGATAGAGCACACATTCAAAACAGCCATGCCTAATTGCGTGATCATTTCCGGATCTCTGCGTCGTTGATAACTAAACTCAAACTGAGGAGCCCCAGGTCGTACTGTGCCTAGCGTCCACACGCAAAGATTCTCCTTCGGTATGACGTGCCCGCAGCTCAGTGTCGTGACCTTTGAGGTAGAAAGAGTTGGAAATAAATGGTCCTTGTAGTCTTCAAAGGGAGACATGGTACCTCCTGCGAGAATCACCGCTCTTGCCGAAGAGGCAACAGATGAAAAGGCATGAGTTGGCGACAGAAGCAGGTAGGAAAGCTGGATATCAGGGGATGGACCGGCTATCTTCTGGTAGAATATCCGGCCCTCGGAGCTGAGATTGGTCAAGGCAACAAGAAAAGAGGCCAGTGTGTGCAATACTGGGGTACCGCCGACCTTTGTCACAGCTCCTGGCTCCTTCTCGCTTTCTACGTGAGCGACATAGCTTTCGATTTTGAAAGCGAGCTTCGAATCTGATATGTATCGTATAAGCTCGAACATGTTGATTTGATCAATCCCCTTGCGTCTGAGGAGATCGTTCGATTCGACAATCCCATCCTCATTCTGTAATCACAGTCAGTAACATGTCACAGACACTGCATGCTGGCAATCAGGCAACTTGCCTTGAAGCTCAATGCCGCCTGCATCCACTCCGAAAGACCCTCAATTATTCTGCCCACTCGCCCGACGTTGACTCGGTTTTCGCCTTTGAGCTTTTTTCCAAATTTTCTTACATAGACGCCGAGCATTCCTTTGGCTCTTTTTAGGTCGCTCAGTCGGATTTCCGCCGCGTGTACACCGGCGATAGCGTCCATTATGTTGTGAGCCTCATCGACAATGACTACACTCCCTTCAAGCTTAATGCCAAGGGCTTCTCTGGCGCTCTGCTGTAATAGCAGGGGGTACGGGAGCGTGACAATTTCCGCACCAGGAAGCGCCGTTCGCGATGCATAGTAAGGGCAAACTGAGAGCGATTTGCCCAGCTGGTGTAAGTCTTCAATGTCGGGCAGAGAGGCAAGGGCAGCATCTCGAAATTCATGGGTCTGTGCCAAAAGCTCTTCCTTCGGAACGAAAGGGCATCTTGTACTAGATTTGGCCTGCTGTAAATCTGCGCAGCGATCATTGATCGCCTGTACCGACCCTAATCGAGAGACTGATGGGTTGATGCATAGCTTCTGGCGGGATGAGAGCGGTAGCAATTTGACGGCTTCTTTGCTCGGCTGGTCCTGTGTCTGGAGCATGGCCCCTGGGAGCGACGAGGGAAACTGCGGTCGGCGAAGCTCAGTGATGAATTGGGACAGCTGGGAATGCGTTCTTGAAGTGTAATAGATCTATTCTCAATTGTCTCAATATTTGCTACGAGATGCGAGCAGGAATATCTCCGCACCTTGACTCCTTCTTCAAAGAGGTCGGTTTCTTCGCTCCCGTTGTTCTTTTTGGGAATGCCGAGACCGAACCTAGCAAGAACTTCTCGCGCCTCCTTGCTCAGTCCAGACTGGGCATCACCGGAGCCATGTGACGCCGCATCATCACTCTGGAAATCAAGCAGGAACTCATCATCCTCATCAATGGTCCGTTTCTGTGATCTTACCTCATCAACTCGCCGCCGCTTCCGGGCTCGGTCTTCTTGGGCCTGTTCTTTGCGCCTGGCAGCCTCGAGACGTTCTTCACGCTCTTGCCATCTCTTTGCGAGTTCGTCTCGTTTCTGACGCAGAAGCTGTTCCACAATCCACTCTGGCTCATCCTTGTGGGCCTCAACCGCGCTTTTCAGCTCAACTTCATGGCTGTGTGACTTGTGATGCCGTAGCCATGTCAGAGACGCGCAGATCAAGGACAATGATTTCCCCTAGAAGCCAAAGATTCCACCATGAGCGACGCCTGGACTTGTAGATATCAGCGCCATCTACTCACCGTTCCCGTGGGGCTTTCAAGAATGCCGATTTGGCCATCTCCCGTTTCAAGGACGTTGTACACTGCTTTCATAAACTGCTCCTGGACATCATAAGGGGTAAATGGATGATTGAAGTCCAACTTCTCCATCCGCTGAGAGACATCCTGAATATCATCACTGGTGTCCATGGTTTAAAGCTGGAAATCCCCATCCATCCCAACGGATTGCATAAGAAGTCAATCTAAGGAGTTCTTGAGATTATATCAAAAGCTTTGTTTGATTTCATCCGTTCATGATTGGCTGGCTAGCACGCATTGGCCTTCACGCGTTAGATAAGCGATAAGCAATTGTTGGAGATTGTTAGAGTGGAGCATCGAGAGCATGTAGGGTGAGGTACGTACCGCGCCCAGTCAGCTGACCTGGGAGCAAAGAGCACAATGGTCTCCACTCAACCACACAGCCAAATCAATTACTTGGATTTTGCTTAGGGCAGGGTAACCCTCTCGCTAACAATTTCCCGGACTTGATCCATACTAGGGCAGCGCAAAAAACATCACCACCCACTTCCAGTCCCTTTGACGAAGCATCACACCGGAAAGCGACAACACCCAACCAGCCGTCGCCATGCCTACCCGAACCTCCAAGACCCGCAAGCAGTACGTTTTGTCCCTGAGAATGCTCTGAAGACAGAATTCGGCACAATTGAATGCCCAGGCTGGTTCGCCAGCCGGGCAGCTTTCGTGCAAAGGATGTCGTTTTGGAAACAATTGGATGGAGAATTTTGTTGGCTGACAAGGAGGTTTCTCACAGCCGCGGTCACGTCTCCGCCGGAAAGGGACGTGTTGGCAAGCACAGGAAGCATCCAGGTGGTCGTGGTCTGGCCGGTGGTCAGCACCACCACCGTACCAACATGGACAAGGTTCGAAATACACCACCCCCACGACGAGACGCAATTCGAGACAACGCGAGGCGAGCACGTCGGAATAATGAGTGAACTATTGAGGGCTAACTTGGCTTTGAAAATAGTACCATCCCGGTTACTTCGGTAAGGTTGGTATGCGATACTTCCACAAGCAGCCCAACCACTTCTGGAAGCCTGTCGTCAACTTGGAGAAGGTACATATTTCCTCCCCTTGATCGATAAGCCCGACCGTCGGACCTAGCAAGCACCAGCTGCCAAACTCGGGTCCGGCTCCAGGCGAATCGATCTGGCTTGCCATTGGGATTTTCCGCTGACACGACACTAGCTCTGGTCTCTCGTCCCCGCCGAGACCCGTGAGGCTTACGTCTCCGGCTCCAAGAAGGACACCGCCCCCGTCCTCGACCTCCTCTCCCTCGGCTACTCCAAGGTCCTCGGCAAGGGCCGTCTCCCCGAAATCCCCCTGGTTGTCCGCGCACGATGGGTGAGCAAGCTGGCAGAGAAGAAGATCCAGCAGGCCGGCGGTGTCGTTGAGCTGGTTGCTTAGACGAAAAAGCATGATATGGATATACCGCTTGTGAAGGAGTTCGGTTGTGTATGTGGGATGCGACTTTTATCGTCCATGACCTTATTGAGGAATAAAAAAAAATTAACAACACAACAAGTTCACAATCTGGTTATGGCTCGCCCGCCCCTCTTCCACTGACATACAGTTGGTGATGATATGATAAAGGGGATAAAAAAGGGCACTTGGGATGGTCGGCTTCGAGCATTGCATCAGGGACTCTCAATGGAGTTTACGAATAAAAATCATTTTCGGTCCATGATATGGTTGTCATCGCTCGCTTAAATTGCCCACGTCCAGTGATATGTTTGATTCTCGCAACTCGTCAAGTCTTGGAACTTGATCATGCAAAAAATGTATATGCTATTTGACAAACGCCACCATGATGAACGCCAGCTGTATGATGCACCCATGCGCTTACGCCTGTGTTATATACAAAGAGATTCGGCCAACAGAATCTGAGAATTCCATGGTGGCCGCACAGGATCTTGTCCGTCTATCTATACATCGAGCATGTCCATGATATCATCATCCCCAACCCCCAAGTCCTGGGAGCTATCTATCCTCAAGAACTCGTGTTCTAAAGCTTCCTCAGCCGTAATTCTTCGTGAGGGGTCCAAGTCCATGCACCGCTCCATGAATCTGACTGCAAGCTTCTCATCCGCAGTAAGAGGTTTGTCCTCGCCCCGACAAGTGCTCCATAGAATAATCTTCTCAAGGGTGAAGCCCTGTTGCCCGACAGTGGGGATGGTCGTATCAAAAACACATCCGTGAAGGAGACCTGCAACCTTCATACGTCTTGCGCCATAGATGGTAGCAATCTCAATCATTGCCTCCACGTCATCCGCAGAATTGAAGAACGGGAATCGCTTGGAGAGAATGGTGAGCAGAATGACACCGGCTGACCAGATATCAATCGCCGTCGTCTGCTCAGTGCACTTGAACAACACCTCGGGGGCTCGGAAACCTCTGGTGCCAGCGCGGTTGGCGCGCTTCGAGGGCCTTGTATCGTTCTTGGGGTACCCAGATGGAGTGTAGGAGGACACGCTCTGGGCCCAGACTGAATTTGCCTGCCTTGTCTTACGAAGCTCGCGTTGCTCGTGGCACAGACACGGCTTGCTCTCGGAGCCCTCCCGCTCGGCGAGACCAAAATCAACAAGGACGCCATGCTGCGTAGCCGGGTCGTAGAGAAAGTTGGTCGGCTTGATGTCGCGATGAAGAATTCTATGCTCATGCGTACTTCGTAGCGCGGTAAATAATGACCGTAAATATATTCTAACATCAGGGATTGTCATATCCCGGAAGTAGGTACGGAAGTCCCCGTGACGAAAGTAGGGAAGAATGGCGATAACCTGGTCAGTCTGGCGGAAGGCTGTGATGAGCGGGCAGACTGAAGGGCATCTCCGGAGATCATGCAGCAGCTCTAGTTCGTTGAGGATTCGCATGGGCGATGAGGTGACATAAATCTTCTTGATAGCGACGTAACGCGTTCGTTTCCGCGGAGAGTGCTGGCTAGGCGAGTCTCTTTCCAAAGGAGGGGGAGTCCACTTGGACATCTCGTTTTGTACATCCCACTCGTTGACATACTGGTCATAAAGTTTATCCTCAGCCTTGTAAACGGTGGAAAACGTTCCTAAGCGCGGCGGTTAGCGAGTACGTACTCCCCAGGTACAACCCAGGGTCAAGATGCAGCATGTGCACATACCTTCTCCTATCCGTTTAATCAGACGGTAGCGATACCAGAAGCCTGGGAAGTCACTCTCGAGCTTCTTCATGTCTGATTGAACACTGCGATCGACTTGCTCGTCGTCAGAGCTGTCGTACTCTTCGTCGCCTTCGCCTTCGCCGTCGTCCTCGTCGTCATCGTCAATAACGACAACATCCGTGTCTGCGACATCTGCACCGCCATCCTCTTTGTCGTCCTCGATCATCTCAGTCTCTTCTGTCCTGACATCTTCGTGGATGTCAAAGGGCTCCTCGGTTCTCCGTCTAACCGCAGCGGTAGCCATATTGACCCCCTCCGAGCGGCCAAGGGTATGGCTTGTCAAAGTTCAACTCTGAAGGTGGGTAGCGTGCTGCCAATCAATGCCTTCTCGTTTTTATGGGATCTTGTCGTTCGCTGGCGAGAGTGCTGTCCAATGTTTAATGCGACGAAGCGAAAGTCGAGTCCGATGTCAGCCAATCAACACGTCGGTGGATGTGGCTTTGTGTGGCGGGACGAGAAGGATCTTGCGGGATGACCTAATTGGAAGGCAGAGATCTCGAACCGCCAATCGACCTGGGATAACAGCCAGTATTCATGCAGAATTCAGGACGTGGAATGTATTGATCCATCCAAGTCAGCTCTTAGCATCGAAGAGCCCTAAAATGACTAACGGCGCAATGACAAATTACTATTGGTTTGGCTTAGTGGTGGTCGGGGCTAGGAGACGCGGTTTTTGGTGCGGTTTTGGGCGTGTTTGGCTGTTGCAGGTGCAATGGCGGGGAAGTGGCACGCGTAAACAAAACAAAAACAGACGTTGCTGAGGGACGTTCATTTGGGCACCGCATCGCACTTTAGCTGCAGGCCGCCTCCCACCATCACCATCACCGTCATTTTGCAGCTGCAACATCCTTTCACGTGCATCGCACATGAATCACCATCAAAAATTGCGATAATCACCGTGGCTCCTTCGCCCGCCTCCCTGCTGTCATTTCACAGCAACGTCGACGCTCTGCTGCTGCCAACCGCGACACCGCCTCCGCCGTGCGGGCGCATTTCAGCCCACCATGGCGACAATCAATTTCGATATCAACGATGCGCTCAGGGACTATTTGTCTGATCCCGCTTCTATACCGACTGCAGAAGCCGATAGCTCCCTTCTTGATTGCGAGAATGAGCCCGAGTCCCTCACAAACCAACTCATCAACCCTGTGTTGAACCCAATTGTAGACGCAGTTGCTGAAGATCCGGATGCGATAACGCGCGCATACAACATGGATTCACTACAGTTTTTGCTCAAGTAAGATATTTGAATACCCCTAGGAAAGGCTCCTTATTCCTCTTCAATCGAAGAGCAAGAGGGTTGGGTCGTCTAGTCGATTAACTGACGCCGTTTAGGTTTGCTGCTTTTCTTCCCACACACGCCCTTAGCAAGGTGTTCGACTTGATTATGAGCGGCTTGAGTGCCGAAGTCGATGCGGCTCACAGCGACATGGAATCCCCCGACGATGAAGGCACTCTGCCGCATCACAAAAAACTGCTTGAAATCTTTGGTTTCCTTCTTCAATGGACTATCGCGGCTGTAGAGGCCAAGGCTGCCGAGAAGTCTTCCACAGCGCCTGCAGCCAGAGGAAGAGGCAAGGCCAAGAAAGGGACGACCAAGGAAGATACATGGGACTCTACGGCACAGCTGCAGTCCGCACTGGACATCATGTGCAAAGTACTGAAACTCAAGCTGACCTCGATCTTCTTGACGACGAGCGAGCGAGATACATTCGTTGGCCTCCTCACGCGGCCAGTCTATATGATTCTAGAGAGCGAGCAGCGTGCCAAATCAGTTCCTATCAGGATGCACTGCTTTAAGGTTCTCTGCATTGCTGTCAAGCATCATGGACATGGATATGGTCAGTGCACCTAACGTCAGTATAGCTAGTCTCGAGACTAACACTCAACAGCGGCGCAGATTAACGTTATCCAGAATCTGACATACTTCGAACATTTGTCCGAGCCTATGGCTGAATTTCTGCACATTTTGGCCGAGACATACGACTACCCACAGCTGACGGATGAAGTGCTAAGAGAGATTGGCAACAAGGAATTCAACTCCAACGATACTCGCGGGCCAAAGTCCATCTCTTCCTTTATCACCAAGATTTCCGAGCTGGAGCCGCGAATAGTCATCAAGCAAATGACAATGCTTGCGAAGCAGCTTGACAGCGAGGTTAGTTCATTTCATCCCTAGGAGTCTTGTCGATCCAGAGTCTAATCCAAGCCAGTCTTACACTCTTCGATGCGCCCTCATTGAAGTATGCGGTAACATGGTCTCGTACCTCAGCAATCAAAATGAGCGCAGTGAAAGCCACAAATCCCAGCTCAACGCCTTTTTTGACGTTCTAGAGGAGCGGTTCCTTGATATCAACCCTTACTGTAGATGCAGGACCCTACAGGTGTATATGAAGCTCTGTGATTTGGATTTGAAGTTCCCCAAACGACGCCAAAAGGCTATTGAGCTTACCTGCCGGAGTCTCGAAGACAAGAGCAGCAATGTTCGCCGAAACGCCATCAAGTTGATGGGAGCCTTCATCAAGACTCACCCCTTCACCGTCATGCATGGTGCGCAACTCTCCCAGAAGGAGTGGCAGGCCCGATACGACAAGGTTCAGGAAGAACTAGATGCTCTGAAGCCACCTCCCGGAATTCCCGGATTTGGCGAAGAGAATGGCAACACGACAGTTGACCTAACCCTTCTGGACGATGCCACTCAGCTTGCTTCGCCTGGAAAGCCCCAGCCGATGACTGAGGAGGAAAAGCTCGAGGCCATCAAGAAGGCTCGGGAGGAGGCTGCCACTAGCGAAGCCATTGAAAAGCTCACTCTCACGCGTCGGTACTACAGCGAAGCTCTCAAGTTCATTGAAGTGCTGCACGAAGCGACAGGCACCATCTGTCAACTTCTTGGATCGCGAAACAAGAGCGAGGTCCTTGAGGCTATCGATTACTTTGAGATTGGAGATGCCTATAACATTGAGCAGAACAAGGTCGGAATCCGCCGCATGCTTCGATTGATTTGGACAAAGGGTAACAGCGATGAGGGTAAGGGTGTCCAGACCCATCTCATTGAATGCTACAAGCGTCTCTTCTTTGAGGCTCCAACTTCATTCAGCCCCAACGACGCTGCAAATTACATCGCACGCAACATGATTAGTCTTACCTTTGGCGCAACCCCGGCCGAACTCACATCATTAGAGCAATTGCTGTCAACTATGATGAAGGGGGGTATGATCCCCGATGCTGTTATCAACAAGCTCTGGCAAGTGTATGGTGTGCAAAAGCGAGAAATCTCGAGGACTCAACGACGTGGTGCAATTATTATCCTAGGAATGTTAGCCACAGCCAATCCTGAGATCGTTGTCGGGGAGATTGAGACGATGCTTCGAACAGGCCTCGCTTCACATGGTCGCAATGACTTGCAGCTGGCCAAGTTCACTTGCATTGCACTGCGAAGGATCAACCCGACGGGCCGCCAAGCAAAGGATTCCACAGTTAAGTTCTCGCGACTCCCGAACGACCACGCGGTGTGTGTGAGGCTTGCAGCCATTTCCGAGGTGCCTTCCGACAGCAAAGAGTGGTACGGTGTTGCCGAACAGGCAATCGATGCTATCTATGCTATTGCAAAGCACCCAGATACACTCTGCTCCAACATCATCCGACGCAAAACGAGGACAGTATTTGGACAGCCACAATCACGACCTACTTCACGCGATGAGACGCAGCAGATAACGCAGAATATTACACAACATGTGGGTGCCTTCTCAGACCCAACCATGACTCAAATACCTATGAGCCAAACAAACAAACCGCCGAATAGAGATAATGCCATCAGCTTGTCGCAGTTGCTGTTCATTGTTGGGCATGTCGCTATCAAGCAGATCGTGCACCTCGAAATGTGCGAGCTTGACTTCAAACGCAGAAAGCAGGAGAAGGAAAAGCTCGCATCTGCAGGCAAGGCAGACAAGCCAAAGGAGGACGCTGATGAGCTAGATCTCATCGGTGGCACCTCGGAGGATGATTTCACTGAGGCGATTGCGCACATTCGAGACCGGGAGCTTCTTCACGGGCCCAACTCACTCTTGGCTCTCTTTGGACCTCTGGTTTCAGACATTTGCAACAACAACACCACTTATGCTGACAAGGGTCTCCAAGCTGCTGCTTCACTCTGCCTAGCCAAGCTCAGTTGTGTCTCATCTGAATACTGCTCGGCGCACCTTCCACTGCTTATCACCATTATGGAGCTTTCACCCGACCCTATTGTTCGATCCAACGTGGTCATTGCGCTTGGTGACATAGCTGTGAGCTTCAATCACCTCATCGACGAGAACACAGACTACCTCTACCGCCGATTAGCAGACGAGGAGGCGTCGGTCAAGCGCACCTGCTTGATGACCCTCACCTTCCTCATTCTAGCCGGGCAAATCAAGGTCAAGGGGCAGATCGGCATGATGGCCAAATGTCTAGAGGACGAGGACCGCCGGATCGCAGACCAGGCAAGAATGTTCTTCACCGAACTCAGCACCAAGGATAATGCTGTATACAACCACTTTAGTGACATGTTTGGTTTGCTCAGCAACGATAAAATGGACGAGGAGAGCTTCAAGAGAGTTGTGCGCTTCCTGCTAGGATTCGTAGAAAAGGTAAGTCCCGACGGCGGCTTCAAGCTATGGGGGTCCAGCCCGATACTAATACGAGTTGCAGGAAAAACATGCCAAGCAGCTCGCAGAGAAGCTCGCGGCCAGACTGAGCCTCTGCAAGACAGAGAGGCAGTGGAACGATGTCGCTTTTGCCATTGGACTCTTACCACACAAGAACGAGGATATCGCGAAATTGATCTCCGACGGCTTCAAATTCGTGCAGGCCAGTGCTTGAGGAGACTTATAGGGAGGCGCCATCGGCAGAATGGCAGCGCAGAGATACCCACGTATATACATATAATGTTGGAATTTGATGACAGCTAGAGGGATTGGTTGCGAAGAAGAGACGAGATGGGATTGTATGATTCACGACAGATATTCTGATCACGACTGCCTAGGAGATAATTCACCGTTGTTTAAAGTCCCAGCTGGCTCAACGGCCTAGTTGTATTGGAAACACTGATTGAGTAAAAGATGTGAGATGGAAGAATAATCCAGTACAGTTCAACATCCTCAGCTTACAACTACCCCTCCCTTCCAACAACAAAGCAAGATCATATGTTGGTGGCAATAGAAACTGTCTAGGGTAGGAGGCAGCTCGTCGCATGATCAAGCAAACATGGTGGGGTGTGAGTGGGGCCCGGAAAGCTCCCCACTACGATAGAGCAATAGAAGGAGACAATGAGCTTCATTCCAACGCTTCAGTGGGCTAGCGGTCGGCGCTGAAGTCCAGCAGCTAAGGGCCCTGCTCCAGGCTGGGCATCTGGCATTACTAAGTCACATCTGCCCTGCCGTCAGTTTGCGAGCGCCTCTCTATACGTGAGTCGGGATTAAGTCACGGCCCGCAGGCTGGTCGGTGGTCTGTCCATTTAGGTAGATGCAGCATGGGTTGTGAGAGACAAGGGAGGCAGATGCAACGCTTAAACTGTTACGGCGGGCAGCCAAACTACAAAAAGGGCGGGGTCTTCCACCTCTGGGTGACTGCCGAAGTACTACAGAGAGACACAGCCAGCAGCACCCTTGCTTCCATCCGAAGCGTCAACGAACAACCAGCCTTTTCTGCGATCATTCTGTGGCGCCCTGCCATACCTGCCTCATTGTCTCGTCGCTAGCCAACGACATCATTGCGAGGCCTCTGTCTCCTGCCTGCCGCCCTGGCACCTGACCGCATCGCGCTTCATTGTTCAATCGATTGATCCCAGAGGTACCTCTGCCCTCTGGTTGTTTGCGGAGTGTTTGCGCCGCACTTACAGCATTGACCAGCACCCTCACCCGCTGTTAGTATCATCGGAAGCTCCTTTACTCCACAGAACTTGCACAGGCCATTGGTGGTACGATCCCCGTTTGCCCAAATCTTTATTCCCCGACAACCTGGCTCGGCCTGGCTGGAGCTCTTGTACTCGTGCACCTCTCCCCAGGATCGTGCGCAATCAGGTACATACTTGCCCAGTACTAACTTCGGCTCCACGCCTCATTAGTGAATACAAGTACCCAGCACCACCCATCGCATCTCTAGGCATAGCAAACGCTGGGCGTGACGTCTTGCCTACTTGTGATAGATACCATTTTCCAAGACTTTTATTTTGTTCCTTTGCGCTGGTTGCGTTGTCCTAGGCCAGCAGACGATACGTACCTTTGTCTCCTATCATCCCCACTTAAATACCTACCCCACCACGTGACTTGGTATTCTGGGACCGAAAACTGCGACACGGCTATTGGACCTGGTATAGGGTACATTGGTACCTAGCTATCGGCCAGCCAAGTACATAAAAGCGAGGTTCGCAGCTTGGCGACTGAACCACCTCATAACGATCCAAGGTCCCAAACCATCTCTCGGAGAGCTCGATACCACCTTTCCGGCACCCACCAATTCGCCATCACACTCCGGGCTGTCATCGCAACGCCTCTTGTGCAATTGAATAGGTGCTGACCTTTTCGCGTCCGGCCCGACTTCTTTTCTGCTGTGCTGCTTTCTCATCGAGGCAGGCCATGGGCTTGATCGGAGCTTGGGAGCTGACAAGGACCGAGAACGGGGGAGCTCTTTAGGTGCACAATTTGCCCATAAAACACTTTGGCTGTTGCGAACCAGACCAGCTCACTCACACTGTCTTACCTCTGCAGAACTTAGTTTGGATTGCGCCCCCCTCCCTCCTTGACGGCGGCGGTTCGCGATCATGTACGACAAGGTCGTGTCATTAGGCACCCGCCTGCACTACCCCATCACCATCACCAAGCTGCTCAAGAAGCCAGGCGACAACATAAAAAAGCAAGAAACAATCATAGAGTACAAGTTTACATGGAGGAGACGCGTTGGCGAGGATAATTGGACCGATGAGACCACCTACACCGAGTACGACAGCCCGGCTGAGGGCACCCTGAAGGAATGGCGCATCAAGGAAGGCATGGTCATCAACGCCGACACCCCGTGCATGACCGTGCAGGAAGCCTGTGGCCATGAGGTTCAGATCCAGGGCCTGTGCAGCTTGTGCGGCGCCGACATGACGGAGATCAACTGGGCCAGCGAGGAAAGAGACACGGAACGCGCCATGATCAACATGACACACGACCAGACCGGCCTCATGGTCAGCGAGAGCGTCGCGATGAAAGCCGAGAACGATACCCAGAAGCGTCTTTTGCGCCAGCGCAAGCTCAGTCTCGTCGTCGATCTCGACCAGACCATCATCCACGCCTGTATCGAGCCGACCGTCGGCGAGTGGATGCGCGATCCCTCAAACCCGAACCACAACGCTGTCAAGGATGTTAAGAGTTTCCAATTGAGTGACGACGGGCCGCGCAGCTACGTGACCGGTTGCACCTACTACATAAAACTCCGCCCGGGGCTAGAGGAATTCCTCCAAGAGATCAGCACCATGTACGAGCTTCATGTCTACACCATGGGTACGAGAGCTTACGCGCAAAACATTGCTCGTATCGTGGATCCGGATAAGAAGCTCTTCGGAAATCGTGTCATCAGCCGTGACGAGAATGGAAGCATCACTGCCAAGAGCTTACAGCGTCTCTTCCCCGTCAGCACCAACATGGTGGTAATTATTGATGACCGTGCTGATGTCTGGCCTATGAACCGCCCAAACCTGATCAAAGTAGTCCCATACGACTTTTTCAAGGGAATAGGCGATATCAACTCGAGCTTCTTACCTAAGCGGACGGACATTGTGCCCTCTCCAACAAATGGCACCCTTGAAACCACTACGAATGAGGATGCTAAGTTGGAGACTGACGATAAAGCTGCTGTCAAGGCATCTCCTCTTGATGAGCTTGCTCGGATGAGCGGCGCCGACGATGAAAGTAGCTTGCAGAGTAAAACCGAGGAGCAGGAGAGAGTGTTGGAGAAGCAGTTGACAGACCGGCCTCTTCTGCACATGCAGGAAGAGCTGGATAAGGAGGAGGGCCAACCAGGCCAGGAAAACGAACCTGGCGATCACCACCACAGACAGAATCTGCTTACGGATGACGACGAGGAGCTTATCGCGCTCCAAGACCATCTTACAGACCTGCACAGCGCCTTTTATGAAACCTACGACAAGAGAAGAGAGGAGCGCAGAGAGTCAGATCCCAAGCATCGACCTGGGGACAGCAAGACAAAACAAAGGCGGAGATCCATCGATGACGGGGTTGACCTTTCAATGGTACCCGATGTTGGTGACATCTTGGACGAGCTCAAGTCAAATGTGCTTAGTGGACTGGTCATCGTTCTGTCTGGTCTTGTTCCGCTTGGAGTTAACATCGAAGAGTCCGAGATCGGAATGCAGGCGCAGAGCCACGGCGCGCAGGTTGTCGAAAAAGTCACCAAAAGAGTCACGCACCTCGTTGTGTCGACAGCTCGCCCTCGAACCCAGAAGGTGCGGGCAGCTGCAAAGATTCCCAGTATCCATATCGTGAACCAAAATTGGTTGATAGACTCTCTCAGCCAATGGAGGCGCCTTGACGAGCAGCCATACTATATCAATGTGTCTGCTGCTGACAGGGCCGTCTCGGAGGAGCAGATGGATACGTCCGAGGCTGAAGATAATGACACGGCTAAAGATCTCAAGGATATGGACTGGGATGCAGCTGACAAGGAGATGCTCGACTTTCTGGGTCTCGAGGATGACGACGAATTGGACGATGAGGAGACTGATGCCAGCGAGGACGCAGACGGGGAGCTGAGTGGATCAGAAGCCGACAAAGACGGAGATTCAGACAGCGGCGAGTCAGAGCGGAAGACCACTACACTGTCTGTCGGGTTGAAGCGTAAGGCTCCCCCCGATGATGGCGACAGCGGGTCGGAAGCCGATGCCCCTGCTGGAGAGAGCATTCTTGCCAAGAAGCAGAGGGTGGCACGCAACCGAGGAGCCTCAGGCCTTAGGTCTGTCCACACATCTAATGAAGACCTGGATGATGAAGAGAGCCAGAGCCTACCAACGCCCGTTCCAACAACAGCCGATGATGAGCTATCGCCCTCGCAACTCCAGGCGCAAGAGCAGGAGGAGATGGATAGCTTAGAGGCCGACCTGGAGCGGGAGATGATGGCCGAGTTGGAAGGCAACGAGTGATGGAGTTGGAGGGATGGCGATTGTCAAGGGGCATTTGATTTGTGGAACATGAAACCGCACATCTGGTTGGCGTCTGCTTGATTTATGGGTTCGATTTTTACTACTCTGTTGAGAAATAGGAACGAGTCGGGAGAAGCTCTGGGCTTCGCTCGTGGCCATGGATGACTTCGGGATACCCTGGTCGTTTGAGGAGGGAGAATGGGATATACTATCTGTTGTGTGTGGCTTACATTTGCATTTGGCGTTGGAGAGAGGGGCGTGTTCGGAAGCCTGTGTTTAGTTGGAACTTACCGGTGTAAAATATCAAACAAAGGCCTCAAGGCTTGATCGTCCATATCTATTGATTGTTTGCATGCATAGTGAACCTGGTGAATGCTGAGCCAGGCTTCTCCCTGGCTGGCGGCTCTCTTCTGGGCCGGTACATCAGAAGATACATCCCCTCCGGCTTGGAATTATGGCGACTGTGAGTGGAGGAGACCGGACCCACCGTTCTGCCTTATGTAATCACCCGAGCTTCAATTCCAACTCTCACCTCACAAGAGCCAAAACAGCGCTTCCGTCAATTGCTCAAACCGACGAAATCGACATCCGGACCGCCGCAGACGCCCGGATCAGCCCCCAACGGCCCATCACCGTGCAGCGACGAAGGCCACGCACCGAAGACGCCTCAATTGACCCATCTTCCGCTCGAGAGACCGCTCCCGCGGCTAATCCAACTTGCCCACCATGCCTCAGGATATGCCCCCCAAGGGCGGGTACGAGCCCGTCCAGTACAAGGTGCGCGATGCCCTACCAAACCCCGGTTATCCCTTCGTGTACGAGAATAAGAGCTCGAGAGAATCATAATTGGCCTTGTGTGTTTCGGTAGTTGCCGGAGGTGGCGGCTGCATAAAGTGGGAGCGCAGCAAGGAGTTTCCTCGAGGCTCGGGTTCTTATCGAACGGTGGCATGGGATAGAGATGTAACTGACAATTCATCTGAAATAGCGCAACCTGCCTGCCAAGGGCTTCCGGCCCGGAATCATGCTCCTCGGAATGGGTGCTGTGATGACGTACGGCTGGTACAAGCTGATCGTCGGTATCCGCGAGGGAAAGTACGTTTCGCTCCCTTTGCCCTGGAAGGACAAGTCGCGCGGAATGCGAGTGTTTTCATAATCGAGGAGACCAGAGTTGCTAACGGGCGATTTGCAACTAATAGTGAATTGGCCCGTGAGAAGATGTGGGCACGCATTCACTTGACCCCCCTCCTTCAGGCCGAGGAGGACCGTGACCAGGTTCGACGATACTGGGCCGACCAGGCCCGCGAGAAGGAGCTGATGGGCGAGAACTTCAAGGTGTACAACTCAGACAGGTATGTTTTTACCCCCGGGTTCATCCCAATGACTGGTACGGAACGGGAAACTGACATGGATTTCTTTTGCAGGTTCGTGCGGCCAACTTATGCCGTGACCCCCCAGCCTACGAAATAGACGGAATATGGTGAGAGGGATGGGTTTATTGGCTGGAGTGTACATATAAAGTCTAAGCTTCTTTGATTTTCCTTGAGTCTTGCCAAAAACAGAATAAAAGGCACAAGTTTAAGGGTGAAATTGGTTCCTGTACCTGGTATAGCATGTTGTACCGAATTGGCCCCCAATGCTGTGATGCTTCGTACGGTTTGGTGATGGGGTGTTCGTGGTCGGCACGGATTATGCAGGGTTCTACTTGTGATTTGGGAGCAGGTTGAGGTTATTGTCCAATTGGAGTGTTTAAGCTAGTCGTCACACTCATGGCGGCTATTTCGACATGCTCTTGTGTGGCATGCCTCGCCCCCCAATCATGCCTGAGTCTAAGAACCATAATAAACAGCTAGATGCGCGGTTCTAATGGGGGCTCAATTCGAAGAGAGTCAAATCCTCTCCTCTAGATATGAGGGCGTCGATGTGAGCTGTCTTAAGAAGTAAAGCTGAGGGTCAACATCTAATGCTATGTTGTAACATCAACTCGTGCTCGTTTTCTGCCCACGAACCTCGGATAATCTGCTAGTTACTATTTGCTTCCCAATTGACTCTGGACGACGTTGGATCCGGTAAACCTTCGTCTAGTAAGCAATACCCAACTTCCACGCTCGGAGGAACAAGCACGGGTGGCCGGGGCTGCAGCCGTCCACCATCAATTCCCCGTCATTACAAGACTCTTGTAGGCAAGGAGGTTTTTTCAATAAGCAAAAGTTGGGTACGATGGTGAGCAGACGCACTGAGACAGGCTTTACTTGTTGGTTGAAGACCATGTATACTTGAGTTATCCCACGCCCTTCCGATGGTTACTTGAGCTACCCAACTTACCCAAAAGCTGCGTTAACCCCGCTTGAACGGTGCAGCCGGTAGGTGCTCTTGGCCGCATGGCGGAGGATCGATTCAAAGAAGATTATTGATTAGGTTCATTATGAATCAGTTGATGCTTCCCTTGTTTCCATCAGGATCTTTGTCGACGGAGAGCTCGGAAGGCTCTCCCAAGCGACCCATCCGAGTCGGAATAGGTGATGATACTGTGTTTCGTCACTCGTAGCATGTATGGCGCCATTTGAATTTAATCAATGCTTCATTGACTAATACACCAACTTCAATGCCTCCCCATAACCTTTCAACAATTTATTGGAGATGTTGAAGAAGAGTGTCAGGCACGTTGGTGATGTTTGATATCGAATCTGTGAATACGCATCAACTTACTTCCGTTCGCCGAGTAGAGATTACTAACTAGCCCTCGTCAAGTGGAAGACAGTCCCTGGGCAATGTACCTTTTCTATTGACACCCCCTTTCTCTAATAGGGAATAGTTCGCATGGCATCTGAGGTACAAGAGGGTTGCAAGTGGGTGACATTGAAATCAAGACACTCAAACATTAAGCTGCTTATTGTCGAGTCTGCAACTAGGTTTATCAAATTATTGAGTATCAATAATACATGCTTGAGAGATAATACGCAAACATTATCTTCTTTCGTTTTATACCACTAAGGTTCTTGATTTATCTTCGAATGTTCCACTGGGTGTCTCATTTCTCCTGTCACCCACTTGGGTTGTTATGAGTAAAGAAAGCAGTCCGACAATGATTCGAGCTTCACTTTGATGCTTACACATAAGAATGAAATGGGCTAATAGTAATAGGTCGAGTTGGGTAATTGATAATACAACATGCGCTTTGGCATAAACACACTGATACTGACTGACCTTGTCCCCTGTCAAAGTGAGCTGCCAGTTGCCACTGGAATTTCATAGCAAAATCCACAATTATTGGTTCTTCTATGTGATACACAGGCAGGAATGTTCGTTGTATATACGTAAGGAGAAAATCATGCCTATAACAAGCCAGTATTATAAGCTTGGGCGCAAATGATCTCCCTCAGCAACCCATCCACCGTCTCATTAAGTCTATGTAATGATACTAACTCGACTGGCTCGTAACGCGCTGTGCTTTAGGAACATCTCTATCTTCTTCGGGTTGTACCTCCGGCTCAACCGTCCTTCCCGCTTCCATGGCTCTTATCCGCGCACCAACGCCGTGCGTCTCGGCATTCTTGAACTGCCACGCCCAAAGTCCTCTCTGTGAAATTAAAAGTTAGTTTTCTACCGATTATGCATTTCTGAGTTATGAATCTCTTACCTCGAATAGTTCATCCACCTCCTCGAGAGACCTTCCCTTGAGCTCTGGGATAAACCCAATGAAGAAAAAGAAGGCAATCGCAGCGAGGCCCATGAACACATACCCGACCCGGGCACCCAGCTGGATCTGGGGACCAGCCTGCAGATAAGGGGTGAAGAAGGTGACGAGAAAGGCCGAGAATACGTCGACAATGACGCCCCAGCCCATGAGCTTGTTGCGGAGCTGCGTGCCGCCCATCTCCGAGCCGATCAGCCAGCACTGGCTGGCCACGCCGAGCTTGCAGACGCCGTTGAGCAGGATCACCGAGGCGACGACGACGTTGCTGTACGTGGCGTTGCTCTTCGCATCCGGCTTGGAGCCGATGGAGCCGATGAGAGCGTTGAACATGGTCGCGAGGGCAGCCCCGATGATGCACAGGGTTCGGCGACCTATCGTGTCGGTTGTGAGGACGGCGATGATGCAGCCGACGAGGCCGGCAAGGGGGATGAGGGTCGAGTATGTGAATAGCTTGTCCGAGGCGAGCCCCATGCTCTTGAAGAAGGTGGGACCGTATGAATTGGCGAATTGTTGGCCCGTCACTTGCTGAAAGAAGAACATGAAGGAGACGATCTGTGATACATAGTTGTGAGCTCGTCATCAGATATGAGAATTAGGGATTGAAAAGGGGGATGGCTTACAATAGTGCGGTTGATGTATGACTGTTTGAATAGATCCCTCCACTGGCCTTGGTTTTGGACTTTGCTTTCTAAAATGGCTTCCTCGCATGCTTCGATCTCTAGAAGAGTCTGTCCGCTTTCCTTGTCTTCGGCAGGTCTGACTCTGTTCAAGCTTTCTATTGCTTCATCCTGTATATGAGTCAGCGGGGATTTTATCATACATGAGTGAAACGCAATTGAGAGTTATACCTTTCTACCATGGGCAAGAAGCCAGCGTGGGGACTCGACACAGAAAGGAACGCCAATGAGGAGAAGTAGCGCAGGAATAATTTGGACGGCGACTGGGATGATCCAACCCTTCTTGCCGGTCTCGTCGGCATATGCACGGCTCATGCCAGCACCCCAGATACTTCCAAGGTGCACTAGAACCTGGACATTGCCCGCGAAGAAACCTCGGAGGGGTGCCGGGGCGAGTTCTGCCTGATAGACGGGGATGAGAGGTTCAACAATACCCACGGCGAGGTAGGCGAAGACGCGACCGATGGAGAACTGGATCCAATTGGTCGCTGATACCTCGACTATGGTCTTTTTTTAGTTGTGATCTTGAACTGTGATGAGTAGGTAGAAATCATACGGATAACAGCAACGATCTGGATGGTCGCTAGAATATAAACGGTTCTTTTGTAGCCGAAACGGTCGAGTAGAGGTTCGAAGATGGCACAGCCAACAAGTTTGCCGGTCCAGTTCACTGAGTGACAAATGTCAATAGACTAAGTATGAAGAGCCACAGAGACGTCTCTAACCTGAATTCATAATACTCTTTCGACTCGTGGAGAGGCCATAACTCCCATCAGGCTGTCGCTCGCCGAACTGTCTAAGAAAACTGGGGAGGGCTTGGAGAGAGCCAAACGACGAGACATCACTATCTGCTGTGTAAGTGACAAGAAGATGAATAGAGAAAATGTTGGCATTGGCTTACATGCCGAACAAGACATTGCCTGCATTAAAGACGAGGCAGCAATACAGCAAGTATGGAGTGACCGACTTCCAGTCCGATGCCTTCATCTTGACAAATGTCCGAATGCTACCTGCACATGCAATGCAATGCTCGTCTGGTCCGAATATGGGGTGGCCTACCGTTGAGAGCCTTGATCCATCCCATACGTATATGTACTTTTTTTGCCTTTTCCGTCGGCAGGAAGCAACTCTCACAGACACAGACTTGTGTGAACCAGGGGAAAGGATCAGTTTCCATCCAACCCACAGCAATAGACGGACCCTCCTCCAGAATCAAATCACGCAATGCGGGGGATGGATGGCGAGTGATTGATTAATCCTGCCCGTGGTTGGATGGCTGGACCAGTCGCAGGCTCAAAGCGGAGTCGAGTGGATAAAAGGGTGATTCTATCACGGTGGTAATCCTCCCGTAAGAGGATTAGCTGATGTCAAACGACGCCCCCAGGAGTGAGCCTAGGAGCATGACATGAATGGCTTCAAGCACGCCATCGACACCATCTCGATTTGTCGACGGTGACCGTTGACACTCGTCGCGTAAGTTCGCGGAAAGTTTGCCGACGCATGGAAGCACGCCTGGATGTGGTGTGGGACGTATAAGTTGTATGGAAGTCACCATGTTAGCCGTCAAGACTGTAGTTATATACAAATTCAACACTCCAGAAGTGCCTAGCGCTTGATTGATAGTCATTCTCCTCGCATAATCATGGCGTCAGTGTCCGTCCAAGCTCCTCCTCCCTGGATTGAGCCAGGTATGGTCAACAAGGACATCTTCCACGATGGCTTCAAGACCTCTGGGCAGCATGAGCCAGTCTACTCAGCCATCCAGCCTTATGACAAATTTCCCAAGGAGATCACCGGTGTCACGGCATGGAAAGCCGAGGACTTCAAGAACAACCCTGAGAAATGGACATATGCCTTCACAGCCGGCGAGATTGCTGAAATTGAGGCGGCAGCAGAGAAGTTCATTGCGTCAGAGGTACCATTGACCGGTATCACCAAGGATCTCTTCCCACTTCCTACACTTGCCGGCCGTATGGCCGCTCTGAAGAAGGAGCTAGTCGATGGCCAAGGCTTCTGGCTCTTCAAGAACATCCCCGCTCAGGCATGGGGCCTGAAGAAGTCGGCAACCGCATACATGGGACTCGGCGCACATATTGGCTACTTTACAAGCCAGAACGGCCGTGGCCACGTCCTGGGTCACGTCAAGGATCTTGGAGAAGACCCGACGAAGACGGACCGGGTTCGCATCTATCGCACCAACGCCAGGTAAGCCAAGCTCACTACCTTGATGGACTAAACTCATCTATCTGGCACAAGCCGCTGACGTGCACCATCTGCACACAGACAATACTTCCACACCGATGCCTCTGACGTCGTGGGACTGCTCTGCATTGCCAAGTCCGAAGTAGGCGGCGAGAGCGACATTGTGTCCCAGCACCACATCTTCAACTGCCTACAGAGGGAGAACCCCGACGTGGCCAAGACCCTCTGCGAACCCATCTGGTATCTCGATCGCAAGGGCGAGGTGTCCGAGGGCCAGAAGCCCTGGATCCGCGCCTCCGTCTTCTACATGGAGAACGACTCGACGGGGAAGCCTCGCGTGTACGGCAAGTTCGACCCCAACAACGTCACCTCTCTCTCCCGCTTCAACTCTGGGCCCGATGCCCAGATCCCAAGCTTGTCCGAGGCCCAGCTCCGCGCCATCAAAGTCCTTGAGGAGACGTGCCTGCGCGAGTCGCTGCACATGATCCTCGACCCTGGCGACATCCAGTTTGTCAGCAACTCCCACGTCTTCCACGCCCGAACGGCGTACAAGGACTATGCCCCGGGAAGTGTTGATGAGAACGGCGTCCCTCGCCCCCCGAGACATCTCATGAGACTGTGGCTCTCCGTTCCCTTGGACGAGGGTGGCTGGAAGCTGCCCTATCCAGATATGTACTGGAAGAAGCGGGGAGGGATCCAAGTAAATGACAACGCCCCTGTTTGTCCTCTGGACGCAGAGTAAGGAGGAATACAATACTGTAAACTAGAAAAAGAAAGAACAAATATATCCCCAGGAAATTAGGAAAGGAGAAGGGAGCCCAAGATTGGGATGAGGACAGGATTTTGCATCATTGTAGCGTGGGAATAGATTATGTTACTAAACATTACGGAAAATAAATGAGAAAAGTCATTAGTGTCAATTGGGGGGCTCAAACATAAGTTCGCCCATCTGCGAGGTCCCTACCCAAGGCAGCAGACCTTCTGCAGTCATGTCAGACCCGACTACAATGTCCACGGGCTGCCAGTCCAGTCCTGCTGGTGGAGCAAAAAACATGTCCAGGTTCGGTCCTGGAGTATCCAAACCGGTGTACGCGTCCCGGGGTTCTGGCCGTTGCACAGGAGTAGTGCCGGACTGGTTTGGGTAGGCCTCATCGCTCGGCGCCAGGTTGCTATTGGCAGGAGTGGACGACGGTTCGGAGCGCGAGGCCACGCTTTCCGGTTGATGACGCTCGGGTATCTGATTCCTTGCCATCCGGTAGATCGACAGAGGGTTGAGGACGTAATCCGGAGCGGTTTGGGAGGGTGCAATATGAGCGCTCTCTCTCGTTAGGCGGGCGAGATAAGGGTCGTCTAGAATGACGTTTGGAAGCGGTAGAACGTTGTTGGAGTCTACTCCCAGCTTTTCCAACATCTCTTCTGCTGCTCTGGCCTGTACATAAGACTGTTAGAAAGTCGGGGCTTGGTCAAACCTGAAAATGCTCAACTTACGAGGCCGTCGGCAACTACGTTCATGGTTTTCATTGTCTTGAGAGCCTTCAGATTGCTCTGCAAGTACGGGATGGTATTGAGAATCAAATCAAACTTGCTGCTTCTGGGCGAATCTGAAAGTTGAGTCAGATAGAAGAGCATGATGCGGTTGCTATCATAGGCAATGGTCGGGAGCCAGCTATCTCCAATCATCCGTGGGCCGTGCCTCTCCGCCTCAGCAATGATAGCCGCCAGAGTTCTCGCACTCTTGAATAGTGTCCACTGTAGCTCCTTCTGGAAGGATCGCTGCTCCGGGGGGAAGTGAAATGCAGATCTAAGTTTATAAACTGCCGGGGTCCCGATGCGAAATAAGTCGCACATGGTTTGATGGAACGAACAATGGAAGAGACAGAGTGCGCCTAACTGAGAGCTCTCCTTGCGCATGTATATCGTCGAGCTGATGAACTGCAAATTGGTGGGTAAGGATTGATGCCATGAACGGAGCTCCGAACTGAGCTGGGCAAACTCGGAGTGTGGGAGCCACGGCATCTCGGCGACGTCTAGATGCTTGATGTATCTCAAAACGCGTTTCCGGATTTCGGTCTGCTGTATGAAGAATGCCAGCATTCCCATGTTATCAGTGAGATCTGAGGGAGTTAGGTCTTTGGGAGCAATGTCTAGGGCACCCCCCTGTAGGGAGCTAGTAATGCATGCTCGCTCATGGAGGAAACTCCAGTCGTTGCATGGAAGCTGGATTTTAATGTCCTTCTCATGAACCAGCATGAGTTGGTCAACACCGCTGCCACAGAGAACATCGGTCACATAGCAGCTCCACATCAGCCGCCGGCGTGATTCTCGGACAGTGGTTGAGAGATCAACATTTGGGCCTTCATTGTAGAGATCTGTTGAGTACTCGAGATTGATCTGGAGAGCCTGCGCCATCCGTATCATTAGGGCGCTGAGGATGAATGCTTGCGAGAAGTTGGCCATACGAAGCGCATAATCGTACAACAGCTGTGCAGTCTGGCGACCAGGGAGACGAATCAGCTACTATCAGATTAAGGGTGAGCAGGTAGCCAAGATTATACTCACCATTAATCCCTCCACTGATATGCTGCCCGTATTCTCTAACAATAACCGTTGAGCTGTCTTGGCCCAATGACACCCCGCTTTGAGGATGAATGATGTGGGCAGTGACTGAACAGTGTCACTATGCTCCAAGGCGTAAAATCTGTGTAGAGGGTTAGAAAATATATCGGCCATGAGGACATTAAAGTTTTACTTACTGTGCGCCTAAGGTGCAGACAATGTGGAGCAGTGCGTTGTCTTGCAAGCTCGAGGTTGGTCGTTCATCTAGCCGCCGCAAGAAAGATGGCTTGTGTATGAATGCAAAGCAGCGTAGAGGATGGAAATTCTGAAAGTAAGACATGACCAACACTCTGAGGTGCTTTGGCCCAGGGAGTTCATGCGAGCATAACCTTTGGAGAGGGAGCCTTGTTAGTCATCCACACTTGACTGGCATACTACCAAGCAACACCGGCAGAGATAAAACGTACCATGATAGAGGAGAGTCCTCAGCACTGCTAGATGCAGACAAGATAGACGACCGACGACTAGGAGATTTGCCATCCGTACTATCCCGAGGCGTGGACGCCGTCAAAGCCGCTCCGTTGGGTCGCTGGGACGATGGCGTGGAAGACAAGGACGGCTTTGGCGTGTTCTCATACGAACACTGCAGGTTGTTCTCGCGGCACGCCACACAGACAGGGCGATCTCCCGAGCATTTACACCGAGCAAGACGGCAGTTGTTACAGGAGCGGTAAGTTCTCTTCCCGCCTCCCCTCACCGGGTTGGAGGCCCGCTGATAGCCAGAGCATTCAAGATGCAGCTTCTCACAGTTGGCACAGCCATTTGGCCGCTCATCGCACTTGACCTGCTCAAGGTCAACAAACAAATGAATGAATATAAACAACGGGCAGATAACGATAAAGGAGCAAAAAAAAAATATCTCAACAATACAACACACCTTTCGGGCACGGCAAGTATTGCATCCTGAAGCATGTCGGTCAGTCCAACTCACACCACTTAAACGTATATACACACAGACACGCATGTAAAAATACACAGAGACGCTTTTCTAGGGAGCTCCGAGCAGGGAATGAGGGCCAGCTACTCACCAAAGCGGGATCGTGTCTTCTTGACCCGTTGGCGACGTGGTGGTTGAGGGTCGTCGGGAGTGGCTTCTGGCTCCGGCCCCATTGCAACTGCAGGCGATCAGTCTCACGACAAGGGCAAAGCGACACAAGCCCAGGACTCGGGGACAGTACAGCGGAGCGTGAGGACGCAGGTGTCGGTTGGGGATCTCGGCTACTTGAGTGCGTCGAGCAAATCGGCAGTTGATCTGTACACGCCCTTTCAGCCCACGGCGAGGAAGGCGGAAAGTGGGGTCCCAGCCGCGCTATTCCACAAGCAGACTGAGATCCTGGCTTCGATCCACACCGGGTGGCTCTAGCAAATACGGACTACCCTACACCATCATCCATCTACTACCAGTAGGTCCACAGGACAACCAGGATGTCTGTTGCTGTTGCTTTGTATTAATGATACTTTAAACGAAAAACAATTTGTATTAATGTTCTTTTTATCCATACAGATGTATGTACCTGGGCTCTTTCATTCTCCGAAAAGGCCCCCGCCCTGACAAACCCGATGTAGAAGGTTTTAAGGCCGATGTCAGTCTTTGCCGTCCATTCTTCCCGCTCTCAAGACATCAATTGCCCACCGGCCTAATATATTACTGAATATCTCGTTCGTCTGCCAACCATCCTCCACATCTTCTCCCAATCGGAGCATGTACGCCAGAAGGGTCGTTCAACAACCGTTCTTTGTTGCTTATATGTCATTTCTGTTCATAGAGTTTCGTTGCTCCGCCACCGTTGCTTTGATGGTGTAGCGATTTCAAGGAACTCTTCGCCGCAGCGTTTTAGCCGCGAGGATTAATTTTTCTTCTTCCCGAGGTCGATATAGGTCCGGTCATCCGAATCGCCCTCGACTTCCTTCTGGATCTGCTCCATCTCCTTGATACCGGCAGCCAGGGTCTCCTTGGACTTCTTGGTCTGCTTGTTGAACCAGGCCACGTCAGGCTTGCGATAGCTTCCGCCAAGGCGATCCCACAGAGTGGTGAACTGGCCGTAGTTGTAGCTACCAAGAATGTTAGCGTTTGCTATTTCTTACAACATGGCAGACAGAAGCTGGGGAATCTAAATGGAGTCGGGCATACTTGAAGAACAAATGGTGCGCAGTGTGGCACGCAGAGCCATTGATGACCGGGTTGTCGGTAATGTATTCTCCATCATGGATGGCAATGGTCCAAAAGTTGACAAAGATGAAGGCGCCGACAAAGACGAACTTGTGCATGGGGAAGAGCAGCGGGTACAAGTGGTAAGGTGCCGACTGGACGAAGCCGTCGAGGGGGTGGAATGCGTAGCTGGCGTACGGGCTGGGCATGATCCATTTGTGATGACGCTTGTGCAGGTACTTGTAGACCAAGGGGGCGTGCAGCCACCGGTGTGCCCAGTAAATGCAGAAGTCGGTGAACATGATGAAGAAGAATATCTGAGTGTAGTCGTACCATAGCCCGGGGCCTTCCTCAGTGACATCGTAGAGCCTGGCGTAGCCACGGACCTCGAGGAGGAAGGTCATGGTGGTGCAGACACTGAGACCGGGCATGGCAAGGGATGCCTGCTTGATTTCCAGCCAGATCTGGTTCTTGAGAAACTTGGGGTGTCCCAATGTGTCATGATCAAAGATGAAGAGATAAGAGAGGGTAGAGAAAAAGAAGTAATTAAACAGGCCAAAGACCCTGGGAGGATGTTAGCAGACATATCAATCGCAATTGACCAGACCATGGGACTTTGACTGCGATGACTGGACTCGACGCACCAGGTAATGAAGAAGAGGGAAACTGCCTGACGGAGAACAAAGTCTCGAGCCCAGGCACTTTCGTAGGCGTACTGCGAAGGCTCAAAGTAGAACCTCGGGGAGGTGGGCTTATACTCCCATGATATGAGGGGGGCCGTCACATTGGACCCGGGGCCGGCCTGGAGATGCGGAGCGGGGAGCACTGAGGCCCAGATGCGATCTCCGACGAAGGTATCGACTACCTCGAGGACAATGTCCATGGCGGAGGCGAAGGAAAGAAACACAAGACTGGGCCGGAATTGGACACAGACACGCTCGAGGAAGTATCAACCGCTGGGAAGGAGATCGGGGATGAGACTGAGGAGTAGAACCGGATGCCCGAAAGTCATAGCTATAGATGGGATCACGGCTGTTTTTGAAGATGGGAAAAAACCCGGCCGATGAAGGAACATTCCGGAGCAGAGCTCTGGGGTGTGGTGTGGTGTGGTGCCCCCCGTGTCAGTCTCAGGGTCCTGGTCTCGTCTTCGGGATTTCATCTTGAGGCTGAGGAGCCAATGGCAACCGTCCAATTGCAGTCGCAAAATCCCCACGCCCAAGATTTTAAACCCGAATACGCAGGTACAGAAGGCTTCAGGAACTCTGCTTTGAAAGCTGTGAGCGACGAATGGGGTCCAGAGTTCAACCCCTTGTCGGGCGTTTGGTGCCAGGGTAGAATCGTACGATCTAACAACGGCAACGATGGATCCGGGTCGAATGGAGATGGGAAATCATTCGACCTCGACGCATAACATAGTGACAGAGATGAAAAAAAAGACCAAGCAGCGGTCATGCCGTCATTTGAAAGCGTAAAGGAAGTGAGAAAAAAAAACCAGATAATGAGCCGGTCCGGAAGATTTGTCGGTGAGCACAACCCGAAGAGATGCCTTATTGCCATCACCACGGACAACTAGGATGCGAATCCAGATTGGGCGTGCGCCGTCGGTTTGACTGGATTGATTTTCGTGTTTCATTTGTAGCAATCACAAATGCTCGATTGTCATTCATCATTGCCAGCCAATCCATCCATCCACGGCGGTTGCCCACCCCTTGTCCCCTCCCATATGGTGTGAGTCTTGTACGACACACGGGAAGACGCGGATCCAAGGTTCCTCAACCTTCGTCTTTATCACCATGACCTGTGTCTCGCTTTCTCTCTTGCAGCCCAGCGCGATCAATTGATTCTGGTTTTTTGCCCAGGTAGGCCTAGGAAATCCAAATCGCCAATTGACGTATGCTACCCGGGCAAATTGCAATCTGGAAGTCGCAATGGCTTCTGCTTCAGACTGGATTCTGAGGATTTTCTGAACCTTTTCCTACCGCCCGGCCGAGTGACCATGGAGACGTGAAAGCCACGAGGGGGGTGGCTTCATGGTACCAACAAGCCAGATCCTTTAAATCCATATCAGCGAGACCTGTGCGCGAAATGCCTGAAATTAATTCAATATATCGCCATGCTCCCGTATGAAATTTGAGGTCACATTGTCAGTTTTGTGCCGTCTAATGTCTGGTCCAGCCGAGAGAAGTCTGCAGGTGGGCTGAATCGCTGTCTGATATTTTATCCTGCGACAGTCTGTCCGTAGGAGGCGATCCCTTGGATTCTTGCATCGGCGCGTTCCAATATTGCCTAAGAGCACTTCGTGTCTCTATTTTGGCCAGTTGGTGGGGTGATGCGTGGGAAGAAAGATTTGGCTAAAACGCGCTCTTGTCATCGATAAGAATGATTCTGGCCCCCCAATATTCGAAAGTCCGTAACCGACAGCGGCCATTGGGACTTCGCTGAACTGTCTATCAATTGAGGCATATACAATAATCCGTAGTCTCATGTAGGTCGCACATGATGAGTACTGACAGAGATGGACGGATGGGTCGTATGTCCTTCCGCGGGCAGCCGGCTATCTAATCAATCTAAGCGAGGACATAAATCGCCGATCCGGGCCTGTTACTGATCTGATGAATCCCTGTGTTGCAATCTGATGATGAAACAGTTGGCATACAAAGTCAGGGCTCAGACTTGAATTGAATGAGGGTGAGTAGACCTAACAAGGCTGAATGTGTCCAACTGAAGCGGCGGCCGAATCTAAGAGTCAGTCAAATTCTCCATCAAAGTAGGTCTCACGAGGTAGGATCCGTTGGTAGACCAAGGGAGATCCAGATGTAGCATTGAATGGGTAGGTGGTGACATTCAGGTGGACGGATCGACAGCCTTTCTCCGATGAGGAGGGTGAGCCAAAGTCGGAAGGCAAGGCAAAGGGCCAAAAGATGCTAGACACTAAGTCAATGAGAGAATCTGAAGAGAGACCCAAGTAGCAGAGTCCGAGGTCGGGAAGGAGCCTACCTCTATACAAGAGGGAAAGTAGAACCGTGATCCTGTTGCGGTAGCTCCTGCACATAAGGGCGACGCCTTATCTTATCCATCTCAACCTTGGTATGTATGGTAAGGTATGCAAATGATAGGGCATAGTGTCCAGCCTCTCTTGATTTCCTTTTGTACTTATTGGAGGACATTTACGATCAAAGAAACTTGATAAAATTGATGTCTTCTCCGTTGCCGGTTGGTATTGTGGTGCAAGTAGGTACCTGGTTAATTGCTTGCCTGACCTTGCCACTCCTCACCAGCCTGCCCACTGAAACAGTCTTTTTCGTTCATGCAGAAGGAAATGCACGGAGATACAAGACAATAAGAAGAAACAGAGCAAAAGAAAAAGCAAAAATAGCAAAAGAGCTAAAATGCGTAATCTGGGAATCGAACCCAGGGCTCCCCGACGCTGCTCGGATGGCAACGGAGAATTTTACCACTAAACCAATTACGCGCTTGTTGAGAATGGTCTCCCAATTTTGGCTTCTGAGCTCTGTTCCGATTGGGTGTCCATAGGGTCCAACAACGATTTCAAAGCCAGGGTGTATGCGTTGAGAGAGAATGGAAGGACATGGGGTCATCAATTTCCATTCAGATCATGTTTCTTCGGTGCGAAATTATACGTCTATCATTTGTATCGTGTCGATATAGGTTAGTATCCCCGCGCATCAATCCTTCGTTGGTATCGGTTTGAGCCAAACGCGACAACGCAACCCCCCCTATCGAAATACTGAAACTAGGAAATACAAAGTTAAGCCAAATCTTGGAGAAAGAAAAGTAATAAAAAATTGTAGGTCTAGGAAGGCTTGATGATGTAGGTTAGGGTGAAAATCAGAGGCCCTATGCAGTGGCCCTCAGTGACCCATTTCCAAAGCCAGCGAGTCCTGCGAAACCCTCACTGAGCTTCTTGGTCACAAAGTCTGGGTCGGGCTCATCACCGTTGATAAACGTCCAACTCTCTTCGTCTTCGTCGAGTTCGTTTCCTCCAGATTCTTCATCTGTTCCCGTCTGGTTCCTGCCTGCCTTGCGCCTGACAAGACTCTTAGCATACTCCATGTCACGATAGATGGATTGGATTGCTAGGTCGACTCCTCTCTCCTGATTTATCGTTAGTCTTCTCATTCTGCTTGGTCGATCATCTGTGGAGGACATACCTGACGAATCTGCTCACCGAGCACTCTAGCTCGGACAATCATCCGCTCACTTCTAGTAGCCTCCCAAAGGGCTCTTCCAAATGCATTGGTACCCCACTTCTTCACCCAGACTCCAACCCCCAGATCCTCTACCCTGCTGGCGAAGAAGAACTGATCACCAAAGAACGGCCTGATGATGGTCGGGATGCCCGCCCGCAAGCTGGCACCCGTAGTTCCTGAGCCGCCGTGGTGTGCTGCAGCATCAATTTGCTGAAATAGCCAGTCGTGAGGAGCAGACTTGATGACATGGATCTCAGGGGGGATCTCTGGTTCTGGTCCCAATTGCGCAATCTCGCCCTGAGTAGCCTTGGAAGATATCCGGTCGGACCAACCTTTGGATAAGATACAGCGCACATCTGCCTTGAGAACGGCATCAATGACCTCTTGGGTCATTTTGGGCGGGTCGTTTACGATGATGGAGCCAAAGCCCACGTAAACCAGCTTCTTGTTATCATCCCTGGCTTTCTGGATGAAAGCCTTTAGTTCTGGAGGTGGCTCATACTTGTCCCCTTCATCCAGGAACCAATATCCAGTTACACGGATCCAATCCGAGAAATCCAAAGGGGGCGCCACGACCATGGGACTGAAGTTGTAGATAAAGGGTACCTTGTTTGGCGCCATCTTCTCAAGACTGGTGTTAGGCAAGCCAAGCATGTTATTCCGCCATCGGTTGACCTGGTGAGAAATTGCCTTCCAGAAGAGATTGTCAAACATGATGTATGTCATGTAGTTGTACGCACCGCCCATCTTATGCTCTGGCATTATAAAAGCATGAGGATAGGCGCGCGTACGGGTCCATGGCATGGTAAAGGCCCTAAAATACGGGATACCGAGCTTCTCAGCGATATGAATACCTGCCATTGCTGATGGCGATTCAATCAAGAGATCCGAACCTTCACAGGCCCCGACTGCAGAAACGAGAAGCTCGTCCAGCCAGCCACGGAATGTGGCGTTCGCTTCACGTAAGAACGACCAGGTAAATGTCCCGTTCTCGATACAAAGGCGCATAAGCTCGCCAGGATCTCCTTCTACACGAGCAAACTCGATCCCATGTGATTCAATCCAGCCCTGGAATTCAGCATGTGTTGCGATTCGGGGTTTGTGCCCTTGAGCAAGGAGACCCTTGCACAAGGCGATGTATGGTTGTACATCGCCTCGTGATCCAATTGTCAAGCATGTGATTTTCATTGAAGTCTTAGGTCGGAAATCAATGATTGATGTCTCGGACTCGTCGATAATGAACGGCGCGTTGGATACGCCGCTGGCTCTGCGTGGCAGCCGAAGTTCATGGTCTGGGAATTCGCCACGTCTTGCCATGCGTAATGCATCTCGCTCTCCAATCGCGCCATCATCCTCGTCTTCTTCGTATTGAGGGAGGAGACCTTCTTGCTCGAGGTACCTTGTCGTTTCCAGACTTTGCAGCAATGTCACATTGCAATCATCTCGGTGTTCAGCCTGTCCGAATTCAAAGAAGAGCTCCTCATGGCCCTTGATGACGACCACGAGACCATTGTATCCAAAACGGAAGCCTTTTTCTTTGTGGACTGTCTCAATGTCTTGAAGGGGGAGGATTAGCTTCGTCCTCGTCCCTGGTAAAAGACTTCGAAAGCAGAATGAGCGGTCGCTAAGGTAGATCTTGCCGTACAGTGGCAGAACGCGGAAAAGGTAGCAGAAGTAGGTGGCCTGTAGCTGTTCGCTCTCTGGGAGGGTGAAGTGAGCTCGGAATCGTTCGTTCGAAGTATGTTTGTTCCCGTCAGAATCCTCCTCGATGTCATCGTCGTCAATCCTCAAGCCTTTAGGTGCATCAAAATGCTTTGTACCTCCTCTCCACATACCGGAGACCTTCTCAACATACCCCATAGATTCGGTTGCAAGCAACGAGCTCATTTTTTGTCGAGTCTTGTTCAAGTATTCCGCAAAGGCGCCAGCCCGCTGCAGGGGATAAGAACCTAATTTGGAAATACTTTGCAATGTAGGTGACGATTGATTTTGATCACCAGACGCATTGAGCTCAAGGTGCTGATCAGTCGAAACAGCCTGACTGGAGGATGGCACACCGGACTTCGATTCGTTCTCATTTGCAGCGTGTTTCTCCTTTGACCCCGCCTCGCGACTGACAAATTGCGGGGGTAGTCGGTGAGACTTTGGATGGAAGACATGGCTATCTCTGAGGATTTGGCTGGCAGATAGAGCTGGGTCTTCAGCAGCCGAGGAACCAATGTTCGAAAAGCTGGGGGCTTCCACTGATGATTGAACATAGGAATCGGAAGACTCATGTTGTCGAGGCGTCTTGTTATCTTCCCATCGTCGGCGACTCAGAGACCTCCTGCTAGAGCTAGACAGGCCCATTTGCCCATCGCTCGGCATCGCGGATGGTAGATCAAAGCTTCTCCTCCCTCTGTGCCTAAAACCTTCGAAACTCGAGCCTCTAGATACGTCCAAGCTCTCTCGCGGGCTTGTAGCAGATTGCGGGGACATGGGCGATAAGGTCGCCCTGACGTTTTCTGACGGCCGCGGTATGCGGATCTGGCTCATCATCATATCATCAGGAACATTGCTAGGCGAGGTGTGTCCTGATTGCAGGTCGCCGGGACTCGTAGGGACGGGACTCGACATCTTTTCCTTGTTTTTTGCTCTAGATGCGCTTTCTTCAACCAGGAGTCGCAAAACTCCGATAGCCTCTTCCCCGAAACTGAAAAACGAGAAGAAATACTACATTATTATTAGTTTCCCATATAGAGTTTCTCGTATAGACTTCGTAGGTCATATGCAAGGTAAACTTACTTCATCAATAGCGTAAGTCTCATCATTGTCAATAACTCGTATCTTGCATGTATCCGCGAACTCAATCATCTGTGTGTCTTCAACATCAATGACATTGTCAATAGGGAGGGAGATTTTGACGCTATCTCCGTCATTATGACTTCGAAAGATCACTCTTTGAAGACTCTTGACCCATTCCTTTGCGCTAGGCGCGCTGTCGGCCCGAAAGTTGTATGTCCTGTGGGGAGTGACAACTGAGAAATGAATGCCCTTCTTGTCGCTGTCAGTCACACTAGCTGAAATAGCATAGCTGAGGTCGATCTGCCCGTGGGGAAAATATGGGTTTGTCGAGTCTTGATGATAGGAGAGCACGTATCCTTTTAAACGGCACCAATATCGGTTGTACTTGGGATTGCGCTTTCCGCTTTTCGATAAGAAACCAGATTTTGAAACAACATTCTGGTACACAGGTCAGTGCTCGCGCCATGGAGAATAAGGAGCTTATCCAAAACCTACTGCTTTTTTTGGCAGGTACGCATAGAAACAAATGTGCTTCGTTGTGATGTAGAGAAATCCTTGGAGAAGAACGCTCTGGAGCAGCCAACAGGGATACTCTGTTGCAACTTGTTAGCATCCAATGCGCAAATTCGTCCGGGTATCATGAGCCAGGCCGTACCTTCGATAACTTGCTCGGGCTCTTCGAATTCAAAGATGTCCATTAACCGCTTCGCTAGAGGCGAGCTGTCGCTGGGCTCCTCGGCTTGGCTTGTACCCATATCGTCTGTATCGAGGTCGAAGCTCGGTCGGCTTGACATCTCTGCCCTCGCTTCGAGCATCCTGCTCATAACAGGAGGGCGACGATTCAAGTTCTCTATTTCCAGATCGATGTTCGTGGGCACTGAAAGATTGCTCTTTTCTTTGTCTAAACTTTCGGTTTCTTGCGGGTCTTCTCGGGGCGTCGATAGTTTCGTGGGTAAGCTTTGAGACTTGGACTTTAATTTCGGAAGAGCAGGCAGTGATCGAAGCAGACGGTGGGCTGAAAGCTTCCTTCGGTGGCTTCGCCTCTCTTTGGGTTTAGGGGTAGTCAAAATGGTCGTACGCGACAAGTCTTCTTCCACGCCTTGAGCATGTCCACTGCCGTCCTCGCCGTCCTCATCACTACTGCTATCGTTGAATCGTTCGTGGAAATCGACCCGTGATCCTGCGGCCGCAATAAGGCCGAAAATACTCTGGTTCATGTTCATAAACATGGGCGGGCTCTGGCCCGATTGCTGGTCCTCGCCATCAGAGTGATCGCTATCCCTCAAGCGCTCGGGTATCTCGACCCCACACTCATGTTGGTGCTTCTTCTTGAGCCTCCGGCTGAGGCGCCGCTGGAGGTCGTTGGACAAGGCTCTCGCGGGAGAGTGCGGCGGCGACCGCGGATGGGACTCCATGGTTTGGTTCGACGCCAGGAATACAGCTGCTAAGCTGCACGAGGTTGCGTCTGATGGCGTTAGGTGTGAATAACGTCACGGTTGTCGTCGCGCGAACGAGTGTTATCGCGACGGGAAGCTTATCGGGTCGGGCAAGGGTGGTGGTGGTATCGAGAAGCGCTAGTGCCCGCAGGCGAGTCATCGGCCGGAAGAAGTCGCTGGTGCCTAATGATGAGTGAAATGTGTCAGTTGAATGCCGGCGTCCAGCGCCTGTTGGCACGAGGACGAGGGCGAGTTGATGAGGTCAAGCAAGCACTGTTGAGGTGGTGAGGCTGGCTATGAATCACAAGCTACGGGAAGCGTCAAGGGCGTTCATTCAGTCATCCCCACCATTAGTTTGGAGGCAGGCGTTGGCGGATGGATACAGCAACCACGGCACAGGCCCATCCATGCCTGAGGTGTCGGGTCCTGGTGCTTGGCTCGGGGAACTTAGGGGTCAAGCAAATGCCTAGGAGAGATGCTGACTGCCTGAAGCGCAGTGGGCAGGTGGGGTAGGTTTAGGCGGCCTTCCAAGGCCTCTTCCCCGGAGCCATCCATTAAGAGAGCTCCATCTGGGTCGTGGCGGGCCTGATTGGCTTGCTACGTTATCGCGCTTGGCGTAAACTGTGAATGACGCCACACCACTGCCTCAGCACAAAGGAAACTGCCACTGTCACGCCTCTGACTCGTTTCTGGATTGGTGAGGTGGTTGGTGACTTGCACCTCATCACGGACCCTTCCTCGTGTGTTTTCCGTGGCCCACACCAGCTTGCATGTGACTGCGGGTTTTGCTTTTGCTCTCAGAGTGACCCATCCAAGCCATCATAGGCATAATCAGCTGCCGTCGACGCCTCTCCGCTCCACTGTTTTGCCTGCCTGATCACTGATCACTGATCACTTGCCATGGCATATCTACAGAGGTGCTCAAGGGGGCCAGTCGCAGCATCTACAACGCGTACGGAGTTGCCTTATCTGCCCGGTGCCCAGTAAGCACGCAGTAATCACTGGCCGACGGAGTAGTTTTAGATTGTCGACGGACATACGCAGTCCACGAGCACTCATCTGATCTGTGAGGCTTCTTGGCGAGATTCCGATCCCAGCTCTAAATCGGAGCCGATATCTAGGCAGCAGGGGTTCGACCAAGTCCTTACTTCTTAGTCCCACATGTGCCCGTCTAGTGTTACGACGCTGAGGATGGCGCAGGCTGGTAATCAGAACAGATGATGCATGTTGGCATATATTGATTTCAGAGATAAACAGTTGATACTTACAATATGGAAAGCGGCATTGCTTTGTGCCCATAGCGGCTACTCCTAGGCGACTCTACTCGAAAACAGCGATGCTTAAAGGTATAACATCACTTTGTAATACAAGATGGATCGCTTTCTGAGATTAAACATTTAAATATACATGCCCTGCCATAGCAGGCTCCTACTCCTGTTTGGAGTCCGCTTGATACATGGAGCTCGTCCTTTCTTGGTGGATTGAAGCAGCGAAGCAATTATTCTGGGGGGGTCGAGATTTCCCAACTGTCCGAGATCTTGTTATATAGCAAGAATAATACAAGCGAGAAGATCAAAACGCCGTCAGTATATTCACCAGAGACCGATCTCATTGCCATAAGCACAGCTTCCCGCTCGCAGTACCACCAGCAACCCAATCCTGCGACGGGTGGAAGTGAGCCACGGCAGGAACAGCTGAAATGCCCTCTCCATCGAGCTGAGCCAGCTGGCTCCCATCAGAAGCAAACACGTCGACAAATCTGTTCATGTTTCCGATAACAAACTTCTGAATGCCGTCGTTTGGCCGTCGCTGCCACTGCGGCTTCAAGATTGTCACCCATCGGCCGGTCTGGTTGTTGTGCCTGACCTGATGTGCCGGCTTCATCGCCTTGGGGCCAATCTCATGGCCCGCCTTCCAGGAGCCAGAATCGGAAAAGTCGTAAATCTTGATCGTATCGTCGTATGAGGATGTGGCGACATGGCCTCCAGGGCTCCAAGAAGCATGGGAGACAGACAGTCGGGATTCGTGATCACCCAGTAGCGCCGGATGTCGCATGTCTCCCTTGCCAGTGATTTTCCGCAGGTCCCAAACCTTAAGTGTGCGGTCCAAGGACGCTGTGGCAAGTAGATGAGGCTGGAGAGGGTGCAGAGAGAATCCGCCGATCTTTTGATCTGACAGACCCCATATCTCGTCGGTTTGGGGACCGCGAATGTCATACCTGCCTACGCCCCCCTCCAGCGTGGAGAAATAAAGCACGTTGGGGTTTTCTGCAGAAATGTCGAGAGCCGAGATGGCCCTCTCTACATCTGCGTCTTTGGGTGCGTACACTTGAACTGACTTCCCTTTCTCCAAGTCCATCTTTCGAATCGAGGAGTCGTAAGAGGATGAGTAAACAGCATTATGATCTTGGTATGAGAAGACAAACGATGTGATTGTGCGGGCATGTGTTTTGAACGCCGATATCACGGGATCTTGATATTCGGTCTCCTCGTCATCCTCAGAAAACGGTGCTGTCTGAGAACCATCAAACACACCCATGTTGCCTTCCTTATCGCCAGCGAAAATGATGGGCTTGTCTTCTGTTGGATGAAACCCAAGTGCATACACACGCTGTGGAGTGATTTTGATATCTAATTCAGGGTTAGTGCTAGTCACTTACAATCTTGTCATAGGATTGAGGCTCACCTTGAGGCGACCAATGCTCATAAAGCTTCAGTCCAGTCATTCTTTCTCTTAGCTCTTTCAGGTTCTGATCCGTAGTCTCTTTCACATCATCCTCAGTGAAGGTTCTGACGCCTGGCTGAGCTCCACGAATGAGTCCTTTGATCCCAGTAATCCCATTGTCCCATTTCTTGCCCTCCACTGCAATATCTCCAAGGTCTAAGTCACCTGAGACTCGCATCTTCTTCGCCTTAGCCACTGCAGCTTGTGATTGGGCCTCGACCTCCATTTTGCGCTTCAGCGTCTCATTGTCCGCGTCAAGCCCGGCAAGGCGGGAGCTGGTGCGTGTAGGGCGAGCATACTCGCGCTTGACCGGTTCACTCTTTCTCGTCTTTCTTTTGGGAGCTGGTGCAGGCTTGTCCGGTATAACCTTCTTGGCGGTTTTGGAAATGTCTGTGAGAACTTCACGGTTGGCCTCTATATTTGCCAATCGCTTGCGCTCGAAGGCACTAATTTTTCCCTTTTCCTCGGGCATTTTCAAAAAAAAATTATTTCAGGAAAAAAAAGAATCCCATGTATCTTGTACCAAGCAAAATGGACGAATCAGTAACAAGGTAACACAAAGAAGCACTCAAGTATTGTGAACAAATCGAAATGTGAACGTGAGGTGACGCGACTGGGCGCGTCAAAGTTTAATTGATTGCCGGCGCGTGGTCACGCCGCGGACCCTTATTTCGCGTGCGCCGGGTAAATCCCGGCAGAAGAACGACTACTTTTTTTTTGTACGATCACCAATTGCTTCAAAGTCAGATGCTTTCCAGCATGGAAACCGAGAAGGCATGAGAAATCTATACGCAATGTCTTCAACACTGACCCCATTCCTTTATCAGACAAGGACACTGCAGCGTGCTTTCAGAAATTCAGCCCGAATCGCTTCGCGATCATACGCATATCAGCGACAACTTCGCTCCAGCAAGGATACTTCAATTCCATTTGATTGGACCAACGTTCCCCTTCCAGAAGAGGATCACTCTCCTAGCCGCAGCGGTCGCCTAGGCGAATCGAATAATGATGAGAAGCCTTCGACGATAACGCCCTCTGAGGCGCATATTTTCAAAAAGATTTTCGACGAGATAGCTCAGGGAAAGATGCCCCGAGCTAGAGCCAAGCGCCCAACGCCTTCCATCGAAAACGAGCCGCCTAAAGAGGATCTTGGGGTCTCGTCTCCCGATGCGAATTCCCGTTCCATCGTTGTACAAGCCCGTATGGCCGATTTCCGAGAGAGAGTGTTATCCAGGTTTCCACAGTCCTTGCGAGAGGCAGCACAACTCGCCCTCGGCCTGTTCGAGCTCAAAGATGGCGCTGGGGTGATTGAGACGGAAACAAATGAACAGAAGGCGGAAAGGAGCAGGTTTGAGCAAATAAGGGAGAAGGAAAAGGATCGGGTCTATGCGCTCATGAAAGCGTGCAAAACCGATGCAGAGCTATGGAAGATGATGGAAACGGCGGTGTTCTCATTGCCCGAGGAGCTAGGGATCGCCACTCCGGAAAAAAAGAAGCAGCAGCCTACGCGAAGAGGGAGGAAGCCATCCAAGGCATCAGCACCTGCGGATGAGCCTATCGCCGCCGAGAGCGCTGCGGCTAAGGAGGGGGCTGACCAAGGCCGGAAGCACATCATGGATATCGATGGCCCCCTCTATTCTCAATATCTGAACTATGGACTTACCCTGCTCGACACTTCGTTTGCTAAGCCATCTCCTTTTGCTCTCCAGATACTACCCCGAGTCAGGTCTCTTGGTCTGCCATCCTACGTCTTGGGTGTTTCTACCAAATTCTACACCACCCTCGCTGCCATCCATTGGAACCGGTTTGGCGACGCTTCATCAGCGTTGGACGTGCTCCAAGAAATGATGGCAACCGGCCTCACTGCTGACGACGATGTCAAAGCTCTGCTAGTGCGTATCCGAGACCATGTTCTCGGATGCACCTGGGGCGTCCAGGGGCCATTTGTTAGCGGCATGATGGAAGCCCCGCCGTACGATGGCGCCCTGATGCAGAGGATACAGGAGCTGTATGACTTGGCCGAGGACACGATCAAACAGACAGAAGATTACAGCGGCTGAATGTGGGTGGGCAATCATACTTTCCCCTCCCTCGGCTCTCGCTGTTGTATCCTATTAAAGTACAAATACGCGCAAAGGGTGGTATTGATGCATCCCAACCTGCATATGCGCTGTAACTAATGCATTACTGAACCTGTACTTATATAATAATCCCAACCTTATCATCAAGACTAAGGATTGTGCCTCAGAAAAGAAAACCTAAAGACTTACTCAGTCTCTCGTAATGCGAGGCAATGATCATCTCGATGGAGCACGTCGTATCACATATACGAGACAGCTAGCTGGCCATCTGTCGTCGTCCCATAATGCCTCACCTGCGAGACGATTTTAAGCAGAAGTCTGGACGAAGTCTTACCCGGTCTGTCGCGGCATGGTGCCAACAGGCTCGGCGCGCCTTTGTCATCCTGCCCCACGAACTTTCGGCTGCATCCCACCTGTCTGTCTGCTCTTCGAATTATCTTGCCTGAACTGGTCAAGACCCAGGCCTACACATATGGAAAGCCGTCCGGAGAGCTTGGCAGCGACGCAAGGAGCCCTTTTGGGATGTGAATGTGCCGCAGACGAACCCCGGATGCGACGGCAGCGGCGTTTTGCTGACCTCTTTCTCGGGACATGGGATCGTTCTCTATCAAGCGAGACGCATCAACTCAAAAGACACTTTCGTGATGCATGTCAGTAGTGTCGTAAAGTGCTGCCCCGGAGGAGAGTTTCCCATGCATGCACCAAGATTCCATTCTGCATGTCCAACCTCCAGTATGTCAGGTCGCAATCACACCCAACAGCCCATGCGAGTCATTTTGGCTCATTTTCGCATCTCACACCACACCGCGATTAGCGCGGACGCTTACAAGCGATCCGCGAGAGCTAATTGTCGGCCATCACCAACCCATCTTTGCCCGGGAACCCAACCAAGGGGAACAGAGATCAATTGATGGGTCGAGGACCTCGCTAGCACGCGGCCAGTTCAGCTCAGCCCGCGCAGTAATCTCACCCGAACAAGCAAAAAGCCAAGGTCTAGCAAAGTCAAAGCTCCGCACTAGGAGCCTAAAGTATTTATCCCACTTAGTATATCTTATTCTTTTTTTTTGTGGATTATCTCCTCCAAACTACCGGCAGGCTTATTTCTCACCAAAGATGCCTCGTGGTAATGATAAGCAAGGCCGGCAGAAGCCGCAGGGACAAGGCCGTGCAGAGGGGAGGGCATACCAGCCCTTGATGTTGGCAGCCGGCGATGACGACGCGTGAAAGAACAGATGTTTACCATTATACACTTCAATTTAGCTTCTTCTCTGAAACAGACACTTCCTTTGGCAGGATTGATACCTCGAGACATCGCTTGGTCTGAGTACCAAGACCCAGACAGCTTTACCCCCTGCAAAGAATCAAGGATGTCGTGGTCATCCTTCTCGACTGCCGCTTCAAGTCGACTGGGGGCCCTAATTGAATTCGGGTGCCTGAAGCAATACATGTCCCCAAGTGAGATTCATCATTGGCAATATTCAGGGTTTGGAAATCGACTATGGAAGCCACAGTGGGAATTTGCAATTGCGGGGAGACCACACCGAGTTCACCGTCCATCTATATTTAAAATCATAGTTAAACTCATAAATAGTTCATTCATAGGCCATTCAAACCAGCATCCAGAATCCAGAATCCAAAATGTCGTTCCAAAAAATTCCCAAAAAGCCAATCCGTATAAACGTCCGAGACAGGGAGCGCGCCTTTTGCGCACCCCTGATATGAGGAGGAAATCCCCAGCTGAATTTCAGTAAGCAAATATCCCGCCCCATTTCTAAGAGCCCAGCCTGACCCCTCCCCCTGGATATGGTGAGAATACACAATCGGTAGTTCGAGTAAGAAAAATTTCCGCTCTGGTCCCCCTCAAGAGTTCCGCGTTTCGTCTGTATCGTTGGCCGCCCCTGGTAAACCCCAAGCCTCCTGACCCAAACTCTTACGCGCTAAGGGTCGACAGAGACCTCGGGCGGCTTACTCGCGCCCTCTCCCAGCTCGTTTTTCGCAAACAGGTTCGGGTCAACCAATAAGAAGTCCCGTCGGCGCGAGGGGTCCTGGTTAGTTATGGAATGTAAGCTTGGGAGACGATGATGGACATGGCCGGTGTCGACGTCGTCATCCTCGGGAATCTCTGCGGCCAGCGACGGAAACGCATACTCTGTTGAGAGCTGCCGCTGGTGGGACATGCCGCCCATACTCGTGGGCGCCCTTGGGCTTCGAGGCGATCCGTTGAGGCGGAATGCGCCATACCAACTACCGTCGTTTGTGCTTGGGAAAGACCTCCGCAACATTTCCAGCCCCTCCTGCTGGTCCTTGTTGTCCGTCTGGTCCGTCATATTTGGATTTTGCGCCATGGCGCTGCTGGGGACTGAATGCTGCCCATTGTGGACGAATTTGAATACCGATGATGGTCCTGGGCATCGGGAGCATGACCGGCGGCAAGGTGTACATGTAGGCCATTGCTCATCGCACTAGAAATGATGTGTTAGGAATAAGAATTCCGTTTTCCAAAACCAAGAATATATCGAATTGGAGAAGAAAGAGACGAAATGCCGGGAATCGAGTAGGGAAATGTGAGTGCTGTCAGCATGTGTGAATTTTGCATCCTCACCTTTATCTTGCGTCTCTTGCAACTCTTACAACCTTTCGATTTGGGAATGCCAGGCATGTTGTGGTATCTTTCAGGGGCGGTTCAGAACACACTTTTACTCTGTCTCGCTCAGAGAGAAAAATGGCAACCGCGCGCCGAGGTGGTAGGTCAAATTATAAGAAGAGTGAGAGTGAAAAGAAACAACATGAATGTATTAATGTATTGTCTTAGACGGGGCACACACCAAGAACAAGGACGCAGTCCAGGTTGGGCGAGGTATTAGTCCATATAGCTCCCAGGGTGCGACCCTAGCCCTCACTCCCGCATCCCGATATGGGAAAAAAGGGACACTCGGTAGCATGGAGAATGGGATTTCTGTTTTAGCCCAGGCGCGGCCTTGTCTGCATTTGGCGAGTTACAGCTCACAGGCTGGCCGGCCGCGATGGGGCCAATTAACAGCCCTTGGCGATGTCTAGTCGGGACATATAACTCGAACGGGGCAAATAGTCTGTCCTGCTAGGTGCATGGCATGAGGGAGGGCTGTGGGGCCGTCATACATTAAACACCGATACCTACATACTCTACTGGCCGGCCATGGATGCGATGGTATGATATGGCTGGAGAGAGGGATGTTTTCAGCCTTCTGGAACCACTCGACCTCTCCACCCAAACCCCCGATCTCATGTGGAAGACTTACCGTATCCCGACAGAACCTGCGCAGTCCGGCCCACATGGGCTGTCCTGGCTGGCGGGTTCGGTCAGAGATGCTTTCCCCGGGGTAGACAGACATGTTGCCCAGTCCGCCGTGTTGAGCCCTTACTGTCCCTATGTTGGTTACACTCGCTGCACGTTCTGCAGCTTGCATGGCGAGCAGAGCAGGGCGTGGCAGACTCAACACCAACAATAGTAAAATCTCCAAAAGCGGCCACACAAGGCGACATCCAATACGTGGAACCCGAAAAGTGGACTTGCTGTCCAGGATGTCGCTACATATGACCCCTTTGGGCTAAACATTGCCGTGTGGACGGATACCTGTCTCAACGTGTATTTGCGTCCTTCTCGGCTTACAGCCGGTGCTGATTGGTCAACCCCCTCCCACCGATCTCTCCTGCGGCTCTGCGTTGTATGATGTGCTCTCGGGTTGAAGACCACGTATGTAAGTGTGTGAGTGTACTGACTTGCCAAAGTCAAGTCTGTCCCATGCCGCCATGACAAGGATCGCCACCTGACACCGTCTCTGGCACCGGCGAGTGCCAAAACTAAACTAGCTGGCTGCTACCCCTGCAGCACATGGCGTCTCATCATGTAGGGTCTTCCGAATAGATCTTCGAGGTGGCCACTATTACTGTTCCAGGTCGCATTTTCTATACTTAGACTTCTCAAGACCATTTAGTAATACGCGCATATCGTGATACTATTAGTCGGGACCGAAACCCAATGTCAGATTGGATGTGCCCATGATGGGATAGGCAATATGCACAGCATCGACAGGCTGCCAGTTTTGCCACAGATCTTTTGATACGACAATCATATCTCTTTCATGAGACAACCATGTTGAGGGCTACAATATGTTTCTTCTATCAATAAGCATTTACCCTATCCTTATCTTAGCAAAGAGTACTTACCCTACATGTATGAAGACATTTGGACACTTTCCGGAACTCGCTCGAAATAGACATTTTATTTTGGAAATCTCGTTCTCGTAGTTTGATAAAGGATGAGGAGAAATGAAATCTTCTTTCCGAAACCCCTCACTTCGGTGTGTGCAGAACCGCTCGTCTTCCGGCTTTACGCGTATTTTTAATGAATGACAAATCAGGAAAGAACTTCGGTAGCTAAATCGGACTATATGAACCCTGAAGGACCCATAGCTAGAATCACAGATATTAATTGATTTGAGAGAAAGACGACTTTTTTTGTGCGCTTTTGTAATAAGAAACTAATAACAAAACCAGCAAGGAATAACAGAAAATAATAAGAATAGCGGTGCAAGTGAGTCTAAAACTATTGGGGCTGTGGGTAAGGACAGTGCCGATTATTATTGTGTCTGTTCAAGTTGTCTTCCCTGAGAAAGACGACATCGCAATACAGGCAAGGAAACCTCATTCTATCCTTTAAACTCTGGTGAGTGTTCTCATAGTGCCTTCTCATGTCCTTTTGAGAAGCATTTGTAGAATCGCAGTCCGAGCATAGAACTGGACGTACGTGGTGGTTGATATGTTTTCTATAGGCATGTAAGAATCTGAAAAAGGGCCAGAGAAATACAGGAGGGGCATGTGATAAGCAGAAGCCTTCATTTCTTACTTACTTAACCTCAGACTCGGTCTTGAATTTCTTGTTGCAATCTTCATACTGGCACTTCCAAGAGTCGCGTTTCCCTTTATAATACCCAGTGATATCAATGTCCACTTTGCGGAAAATCCACTTCCCGTCTTCGTTCAATCGAGGCCACCCCTCATCATCATCACCTTCTGCTTGTGTTGCTGTGTTGAAGTAAGCTGCATTGCTGCTTTCGCCAACTTGTTGATTCACTGAGACCCCGCCCTAACAAGCGGAGTCGCCAGTTTGCATCGAGTATGTGCCATCAACAACTGGTTCCTGAGAGGGATAGGCATAAGCGTTTCCAGAATACTGCCCGGCTGTTTGGGTCCAATCACCCCCCTGACTAAAGGAAGGATAATAGGTACCCCCCTGGTCGTATCCTTGATTGTATTCTTCTTGATTGTACCCATAGTAATAGCCTTGGCTGTACTCTTGGTTGTCCTCCTGGTTGTCCTCCTGGCCGTGTCCTTGTCCCGGTTGATATGACATTGTGCTGATTGGGGGCTTTCGGTATTGTCTCTGAAGAGTAGCTTGATGAAGTTGTTCAGGGGTTGGAATATGTTGAATCTCCTAATCAAGGAAATATGGGCTTCCGAAAAGATTAAAGGATAATAAGATGGTTGAGAAATGGAATAATGGAAGAGACAAATGAGTTCCTAGTGAAAGGAGAGTTTTGATGGTGAGTGTGGGAAAGAAATTACTTGATTCAAGAGGGAACCCCCTTCTCTTATAGTTTTTTTCCCATGTCCGGATATCAACCATACTGTAAAAGCATGGTTTCTTATTCAGTTGCCTGTTGAGACATGGGGGTACAAAGCTTAATGTGCACAATTTAAGACTCATAGGTGTATAGAATTGGTATCTATTATCGATGTCTTAATGAGGTTGTTGAAAATGCAAAAATGAGCCAGTCGCATAGGAGGGCTTTTGAAGGTGGGGGGGCTGTGAACGCCTCGAAAGGCGCCTCATCTGACGCGATGACATCAAGAGGCCAGGCGAGCTTATTGATCTTGGTTCGTCTCATTGGTACAAACCTAATCTTTTCCCACAATTTGAGGCCCGACTTGCACTTCTGCCTTTGGTGAGCTTTTGCCTATGTGAGTACATAGGGCTGTATTTCGGTAACAACTGGCGGGTTAGCTAGGTATGAAGGGGATGCGGAATAATCATCGAATCGGACTGCTTTGGTTCCAGTTGAAGAAGGGTACCTAGCTTACCCAGGTATTGTATGACTCAAATATCAGGCCTGGTGTTACTCGAAGGTGGATGGTAGTGGCCGACATCAATGCTTTGTCTACCAAGACTTCTGTCGACGCTAAGTAAGTCGACACAAACAATGATGGATAGCTGAATATCGGGGTGTAAAACATATCCAGTTTGAAGGTTCTAATGTCTGAGTCTAATCAAGTCATAGACAGGTTGCGCCTCTCAGCTGCACCTCACCTCACTTTAGTGCCTTCACACTATTCTCCCAGCAGTCGGCAACTTGACTTTATCATGACCACGCCTTCTCTTCATTCTCACCGTATTGCATTTAAATAGCAAACAGCATAGCAGCACCCAACTCTCGTACTTCTCCACTGCAATTAGGGTATTCTTTGTACCCATACACAACACATGATTTGACCTTTGGAGCTTGTTGCGTTGACTCTCCTTCATCATCTATCTTTTCCCTCATTGTTCCCTTCTTGTTATGTTCGCTCTCTTCAAGGCTATAAAAGGTATGCAAATAACTAGCCAAACCACTCTTTATGGCCTTCCTTCTCAACACCTGGTCTAAACACACCTGCAACTCCCACTCTGATCCTTCCTTCGTCACTTGCGCCGCACCTTCTCACTTTATCTACCCTCCTGCCTTCCACAGAATGACGGGCTCCAACCCCCGAAACACACCCGATAACTCGTCCACCGGAGGAACCATCACCATCACGATGCCCTCCGCCATCTCCCCGGAGATTCAAGCCTCCCTCTCCGCCATGAGGAACTCCCAGCCGCCACCAAATTCTCTCTCCTCTGTCACCACCGCAGACCCGCGCATCGCTCACCCCCTCCGCCCGCCACACAAGCGCATGCGCTCTGAGGCCCCCGACTCCCCCACGACGACGGCCGTGTCCCACGCACCCGCCACCGAGTCCCTCGGCTCCTCGAAGCGCTCCCGCGACCTGCTGTTCGACTCCGTCGTCGCCAACAACGAGTCGGCCGAGTTCCACCGCACGATCCAGAGCCCCGACGACCTGGGCAAGGCGGAGCTGCTCAAGTGCTTCGAGATCCTCCACGCCTGCGGGAGGGCCACGGTGCCGGATGCGTCGCTGGCAGTCACTAGGAAGAGCATCGAGGGGTTCTTGGAGGCCATATTCAACGGGTGGGCGAACGACCAGGAGAAGGAGTTGGTGAAGCCGTCGCTCGAGTTTAGGGCCGACGCCGATGTTGTCGCTGGTCATATCTGCGGTAAGCATGTTCTTCATTTGTTTCCCATCCCCCAGGTTCTTGAGAGGAGAGAACTTGCTGACCTGATTTCTTTGTTTTCCTCAACAGCTTTCCCTCAAGAGCACAGTGACACGAGCAACTGTGCAACCTCAAACGAGTGCAAGGCCGAATTCTCTGCCATTGCGACTTATTCCACCGAAAACCCCGGCCTGAAAATCGAGTTCGTCATCTCGAAGCAGGTAGAGGGCGAGGATCCCATCATCCTCAGTCCCCTCATGCGCCGCGACATGCGATGGCTAGAGACGGAATGGCCGGAGGAGCTGCGCACAGAGCTGAAGCGGAAGCTCATGGGACGCCTTCACAAGTACAACAAGCATGTGGCTCTGTGGAAGGCCAGAAAGCTGGTGCAGGGTTGGATCAAGGGCGACTCGACTGATGTCGGTGTTGGTGGATCTGAATTTTTGGGACCGCAGGAGGCTGATGCAGCCATGATGGGGTTTGGGAAGGCCGCTTGAGAATCTCGATGATCTGACTCTGATCGTGTGCTGACAATGGGGATTTGATATCTACGAGGAAAGGAGGCTTGATGTAGCCATGATGGGCCGTTTGAGGATCCTGAGAATTTGATCCTGATTGTGCTGAACACTACGGCGATTGATGTTCACGAGGGAAGGAGGGGCAGAGAATGGCGACAGTTCTTGATGGCTTGCTCATGATACTAATAGTTTGCTTATTTTGGGAGGCTTCATTTCTTGCTAGCTTACGCATAATCACTTGAATCGAGAATAGGCAATGAATCAAAGGGATAGGAATTATGTCCTATTTATATAACTCTTCTCAACGTCTGGATGATGCCTTGCCACCTCTCGCGGCCGCAGCATCATAAACGCTCTGGATGTCATCCTGCCACTGCTTCGCGTCCGGTCGTGCGAAGCGACGGTCGTACGTGATGAGACCGTTGACCTCGCCCTCCACATCGGTGGTCTGCGTGTAGACGGCGCCGCTGCAGGCGTACTCCTCCGTCTGCTCACGGATGTCGCGGAAGAGACGGTGGGCGCGCCAGTTGTAGGACTCGAGATCCTTGTTGATCTCGTATGTCTCGTCAATGGCGGCAATGGCCTTTGCGTCATTCCAGAGACTGCAGAGTATGTAGGTCAGAATATGTTGCTACGTAGGATGGAGGTAGTTGGGAGAACTCACTGCTCGATTGAGACGTTGTGTCCGATGCCGCCGTATTCTCCTTGGATGCCGATGCGGACGCCGTCATATGGAGTCTTGGGCCTGGAGTAGAAAGGTGTGCCGCATTGGGGTGATGCGTAGGCGTGGTTATCCTAATCCTCTGGTCAGTTTTTGTCACCATCGTCAGTGAGCGCTGGCTCTTGATATCATACCGCAAAGTCTCCGAAGCCATGGTCGTCCCATCCACTGACGGAGATGACCAATCTGCTGGGGTCGAGCTCACGGACAACTTCGGTGAGCTGCTCCTCGGGTTGTCCGTTATCCAACTGTCCCCATCCCTCGTTGAAGATCATCTTAAAAACAGTTAGCGCGTGCTTGATGTAGGATGATAATGTCTCGGACACTTACCCATGTCACAATGGAGGGGTAGCTCTTGTGCTCATTGATCATGATCTCGAGCTGGCGTTGGAACTCGGCGGCTACCTCACCGGTTGGCTGAGTGTCTGGCTTCAAGCTGGGCATATCCTGGATCACCAAGAGTCCAAGTCTGTCGCAGGCGTAGTAGAACAAATCAGGCTCAATCTTGATCTACAGTGAGGAAACCAGGTTAGCAGTTGGATTCTAGCACTAGGCTTGCAAAGGCCAAGCCTCGGGGGGCAAGGTGTGGGATGAACAGGGTATTGCTACTTACGTGCTTTCGAAGCATGTTGAAACCATAGTCCTTGAGCACCTTGATGTCGTACTCCATAGCCTCAGCATTGGGAGGGGTGTGAAGCCCATCAGGCCAGTATCCCTGGTCAAGCGTGCCGAACCAGAAGACGAACTCGCCGTTGAGAAGCTGTCGGGGGACACCATTGACATCTCCCTTGGAAATGGTGCGGAATCCAGTGTAGCTGAAGACCTCATCATCGTTGCCCAGAGTGACAGTCAGGTTGTAGAGAGTGGGGGACTCTGGCCACCAAGGCTTTACGTTGTCGACGGTGAACTTGAACTCCTCACCAGAGGTCCCGGTGCCTGACGCAATCTTGCCACCGTCTGACCCAAATACCGTGACTTCTACAGGAGTGCCGTCACCAGAGCCATGAACGTTGACGGTCACTAATTTAGGAAAGAAATTGGTTAGCAAGGGAGATGTCATTAAGGAGCAAGGGAGGAATAATTGGTTGACGCACCTTCACCATCATGCTTGGCACTGACATCAAGTTGGGTGATGTGGTTGGCCGGGGCCGACTCAATCCACACTGTCTGCCAGATACCAGAGCAAGAGCGATAGAAGATATGGCTAGGGTTCAAAGTCTGCTTTCCAACGGGGATGGGCTGCGAGTCTGTTGGGTCAGAGACGAAGACGAGCCTGGCAACATGTTAGCGGACTTGCACGCTTGCTTTTAATCCAGATTTCCGAGACTCACAGGTCGTTTGAGCCGCCGTACTTGACGTCCGCAGTCACGTCAACGGTGAAGCGGTGGTAGCCGCCGATATTCTTGGTCTTCTCGACGCCATTGACAAAGACGGTAGAGCTGTAGTCCACGGCCTCGAAGTTGAGCAGCACGCTCTGGCCCTCCCACTCCGCGGGCACATCAAACTTGGTCTCGTACCACATGTGGCGCACATCGAGGATCTGCAGACCGGAGAGACCACTCTCAATGCAAGATGGCACCAGGACCTCGCGGTCCAAGGGACCGGAAGCAGGCGGCGATCCAACGTCACTCTCGCTGGTGGCACCCCTCCATGTCCAGATGCCGTTCAAGCTCTTCCATGCTTCACGGCGGAGCTGGGGGCGAGGATGTTCTGGCCAGGGATCTGTGCCCACCTTGTATGTCCAGTCTGTGTCCAGAGGAGGCTTCTGGACCTCGTACTTTGTCTGGCCAAGGGTGAGTTGGCCGAGGCTGAGGAGCGCCAGCCCGGATGAGAACAGGCCTCTCATGACGAAAGGATTGAGTAAGTTGAGAAAAACTTGAGGGTGGAAGGATGAAGATGTGTCGAAGAGGGTGAGGTTGGTGCTAAAGAGGTTTTCGAATGTCATCAGAAGGAAGCCCCTGCTCGTCTCCCTTGCGCGAGCTCCAAGACACTATATATACTCATACAGGTGGATATAAGATTGGGTGATTGTGTGATGAAGCTTCTGACGGGTAAAATGAAGACGGAAATACTGAAAGAGTTCGGTAAAAGGAATGAACCGAGCGAGCAGGTGGTGATCCTCATGCAAGGACTCGACTGTCAGTAAACCTCCTCCATGGTGATGACGTGCGTACTGTAGCTTCCGGCATCATGTCGGCGAGGTGACGAGCCTCCTGGCCTCTCCTCCTCCTTCTCCTCCTCCAGGCAGACAGGATAGTTCACCGTCCCCTGCTAGTATCCACCTCCCTTGGGAGGAGGGAGTACTCAACCGCTCGGCCGCCCGAAGAGGAGGAAGCAGCTATCCATGATCCAAGGTAAGGGCACGCTACATCGCGTCATGTGATGGTTAGTGCGCCAAGGAAGTCGCGCTACCTTGACATCCAACCACAAGGGCAAATGAGATTAACTCTTGAGGAGACTGTGGGACTCTGAACTGATCTACCTCATGGCATTTGGCTCTCACACACGGCCACGGTTGGGTGTGGCTGACTCGTGTGTGTTGCATCGAGAGATGGATGGAGAGATGAGTCCAGAACCGGGTCTGTGAGATGTGTTACCTTGAGCACGATTCTCCCGGCGCGCGCGTCGTCTCATTGGAGTTTACACAAGGGATACTGTGGAATAGTATGACCGGGGTGCCTTCGCGCAAGATCAGACATCAATTAGACTTCCAATTGAGACAATGTAAATCATACGAAAAGATGGAGATGACCTTCCGCATAGATAATTCTGCTGATCATGCATTGAGATGTGCACTCCACAAAGATGCTGGTCCTTGGATGTAGGTAGATCACAAGAGGTGAAAGAAAGTCAGCAAAATACAACCGGCAATCCACCTGCCGTTCCAGGGAAGTGCTTCCCTGGTCTGGTAGTTCAAAGTGCTCTGCAATCCATTCTCTTTTCTCCAGATTTCCCGACGTGCGGGGGATGTTGCATCGGCGAATGTCGATCATTGGCCTGTTGGTCAAGACATTGAATGTTATGGTTAGGATGTTTTCCCAACAGCCCAAGGTCGTATCAATGACACTAACTTAGATGTTCGCTTAGCGCCCAAAATCAGTAAGCAATCCGCAGTGAAGATTCGTAGGAAGTGCCGAGCGGTGAGCTGTGGCTTTTGGTTTAAATCCTTTTGGATTCGCATGCCGGAGGTTGGACTTGGTGCAAGTGTTGGTGAAATGGAGTGTTACATCCAGATAACTCAGTGCCGCCAACCGGAACCATGATCGTATCTCCTCTCCGAGGTGTTAGCTAGCTCTTTGAATCCATGATATCCCAGCCCAACTGCCTTGTACCCGCACAACAGCGCTGGCAACGTGACATAAATGGTGGATGCTTTACGCATGAATTTAAACTTGTCTCTCGCAAACAGCAGCCGTACCATCCCGTACTGTGGCTGGGGTGTTGGCTACCTTGGGAGTGGTTTCTGATGGCGAGGTCTTACGCTGGGCTCGATCTGCTCGATGGCCGGCGGCCCCGGAGACACTCGCACGTTACCCTTTACGCCAAGACTTTCAACGCATCATTTGCCTTTCCTTGGCCTTTTTCGGTACCCAGAAAAGGCGCGACTGTAATTTTTTTGAAGATTCAGTCCGGCTCTCTTTGGCACTTGCCCGAGTTGTAGTCTCTTATGCAGGAACAAGCCGCCATCCGTCAAATGCCGAAGCTCCCCTTCAGCCTTGAAACTGGACCACTCTGAGGTTTTCACCCTTTAAATCATTATGATTTTGTTGCAATATAGACCTAGAAGCATCGGGATCAATTTACAGCTGGATATTTTTGCGTATTTCTCAGAGCACCAACATCAAGGTCACATTGGGTTGCCATCAATTGCACACCTCCACTCCACACTGCCTTCGGCAGAATCTCCGCGTCGAAGACAGTCACCATGATCACTTGCATATGAAGTTACGTCATGTTGCATTCGGTCTTTTCCTGTCATTCGTTTCCCAGCACTGGCGTACAGGAATCGTGTGATGTTGAGGAAGGGGAAACCGCGGCTTTGATGCTGCATTCTCCTCGTTCTCCCACACGCATGGGGAGCCTTTCCCTCTTACCGAAAAGAGGACCGTGGCACCTCACCGCGAGAGAGTGTCCGGGATTCGAGTTAAGTTTGCAGAATCAAACCTCAGGGTGCTACGGTGGGTGCCCGATGTATCACACCATGCCACATGATTGGGACACTGGCACACCAAGAACCCATGCGAGGTGCCAGCACTTCCTTGCCATGGACACGCACCACCCTGATTAAAAGTTATCGCAGATCAGTCACCAGACTAAATTCTTGAGCCACTATTTTGCCATGGCATAGACTTAGCGGCACTGCAACTGGCCAACTCGGGAAACAATCTACTTACCCTTTCGCGCAAAATGCGAGGCCATACTATCATGATTCAGATGATACCACCCGCAGTGCTTGTAGGTTCATTATGCTATTGACCAAAGTTTTAGGAAAAATGCCGCCTGCTTGGAAACTTTTTAATGAATCAGGTTCTCCGTTCAATGTCAATAATCGAACAGTTCTCCAGGTATAAGGCCACTATCGACGTCTAAAATATGTCAATTCTCTTTTCAAATAGATAAGCATAAAAGAATTAAGACCAGGTACTTCGAAGATAAACTGGCCACTTACCTTTAATAGGGTTCTTGGTAGTTGTTTACCACAAGTTGGCAACTAGGCCTGGGCTTCCGGTGGGGAAGACAACGCCTTGTGTTGAACCAAGTATTATGCTCGCGATCGAGTTAGAAAGCCTCCACAAGAGAAGAAGAGGTGGGACGGGAGAGAATCAAAGATAAAAACCTATAAATGAAGATATTGCTTATCGGAGTTGATCCCTTCCTGGTACTTGGATGCCTTACCTGTAACTCTCAACTTCAATGCTCGCTCACATTGTACACCAGCCCCAATATTGCTACCCCGATGTGGCAGTTCTACGTGGCAAGCTTTCTGAACCCCCGGAGCAGTTGAATTAAGCTGCTACAGTTTCTGGTTAGCGAATGATCGACGCGTAACATTCTTCGACCCTTATTATCTAGGTATACTATGGCTGTGCTGTAGGAATAGACTCGTGTACTAGCGGAGATCGTCATCATCATCGCAGGCAGGCGGGGTTTAATAAAAACAAGCGAAACATACCATCCGTTGAATCTGTGGAATCAAAGCACTAGCCAGGGGTCTAGTATGTCCATCTGTCACCCTCAGCATGGAGGTTAAGTCCCAGGCAGAAGGAAAGGGGTTCCAACTTCAGCGCTACCACATTCATCACGAAGCACATCCAGTCCCCATCTGAGACTAGAGCCATGCTTTGAGCCTCTCACTGATCGCCATCCTTCGGGTTGGAATACAACCACACCGCCCGGGTAAGAGTGCCGTGAGACTTCCCAGGCTGTCCGTGTCCCCCTTTCTCGTCCTACCTTCTTCGAACCTTCCTTTCTTCGGAGCTTGAGGTTTCAGGAATACCTAACCGCTACCTTGGTGTTTCCAAAATAATCTGCTTGGGATGAGTTTGCGGGTCATTATCTATAGCTAATATTGGTCGCGGTTTCACCCTCCTTTGGTTCCACCAACTCTAAGGACAATGAATAGACACTTGATACATCCCTTAACCTCTATTGATCCCATGCTAGTTCAATGGCACCCGCGTACGTAAAAAGATGTTCCCCGGCTTCGACCTCGCAGAAAACTCCTGATCCACAACGTACACAACCTCTCCCGCCGGCTCGGCATGGAACCCCAGCTTCGTGTACACCCTCCTCCCCATGACGGAACCCTCCGTGGTCGCCTCCAACCCGCCCCTCCTCTCCGCCTCCTCCAGACCCCACTGTACAAGCTGCCTGGCGACGCCCCTGCCCTGATACGAGGGGTCCACGATGCAGCAGTCCAGGACCAGGAACGCCGGCTGGTCGGTGGCCGCCTTCTCCTGCGCCACCTCGGCACGGCGCTTATACAGCGACACGCACATCTGCGAGTGGAAGCGGGCCTCGGTCTCGTTGTGGGGGTGGATGACCCTCGACGCCTCCAGTCGCTGGGCCTCGTTGGGGACAGGTTCGCCGTGGCCGGGGACGGCAGAGTGCTGCACCCAGATGGCGTACCCGACGAGCTTCCGCCCGCCGGGACTGGCTTCATCTGGCACCGTCGCCTTGAGGAAGATGGTGTTTGGGTTGCCGCTGTGGTCCTTGGTCACGGAATTCCACCGGTTGATGGCATGTTTGATACCGACGTCGCGGCCTTCGGGGGTGTCCCATCCCGGGTTGGAGCTCCTCCAGATGGAGTCCTCTGTCTGGCGGCCGAATGTGGCGATCTGGCAGTCAAACGCCTGGACGAGGTCGTCGGTGTTCTCAACAAAGCCGATTTGGATCTCGTCGTTGTTGGTGGTGGTGGTTGCCATTTTGGATGCAGACAGCAGCCGGGCGAGGAAACGAGGAGGGGCTTATTGGGATTCCCGTGGGGGTGAACAAACAAGCTGCTTCAACTTTCAGTTTATTCTCTGTACCTAGTGAGCAATGACAAATATATAGATGAGATAGCTAAAGTGTCTGCGAGATGGTGAGAGACTTAAAACCGCAAGGAGAAAGGCTTGGCGACTGTGGATTCCTTCTGGCGCCCCTCATCCACCATCGACTTGCAAAAGGAGCAGGCATTTTGCTGAGGCCGTTATTGTGGTTGATGATGAGGCGGAGGCTGAATTCAACCGATTTTACAGGGGCCAAGCCAGTAGACAGTGGACTGGAGGGTTTAACTCCGAACACCCTCCACAGTCCATCCGCTGAAGGTGCTTTCAGTCATGGCCATTGCCAAATATTTCCGAATGACTGGATGGATATCTGAGGGTGTGGATCAAACTCGCTTGATCAATGGAGAGGCTCAACCCGTTGTCTGATCCGTCCTGGCCCGATTGAATTGCGCGTGCACTGAAGCCTGTGGATGAAGTCACAGTGGATTGCGTGTGTTCTGAAGCCTGCTGTCGAGAAAGGCAGTTACGACTCACTTACAGTGGGCAGGCACGAAAATGCACATTAAGAGCTTCAGGCCGCCGTTGAAACCCAGCACTCCCTCTCTTCTCCTCCAAAATCTGCACTCATCTTTCCCTGTCGCACATCCGTATTTCTGTGTAGCCAACCAACAAGCCCGACCTGCATCAACTGCCAACAGTAGTCTCCGTCCTTCTCTGCATCATGGCGAAAATCATGGGAAACCCCACCACCGAGCTCGCCTACATCACCGTCAAAGAAGGTCTCGAGCGAGATGTCTTGCAAGAGTCCACTCCAGCCGGCCAAGCCTTTGCCTACATGATAGATATGGTTATCAAGGCGCCCGGCGCCCGCGGGGCGCACTGGGGGCCATCTGTCGAGAACCCCAGGCAGATCTGGATCTTGGTCGCTTGGGACAACCTCCAGGATCATCTCAACTACCGCGAGACTGAGTAAGTGAGGCCAGCCATCCGCTTTTGGCCGAACAGCCTCATTGACTGCATCTATCTCATAGAACCCTTGCCGAAGTCACTCGCAGGCTTTCTCCTCATGTCGACATCCCAGCCGGCTATCAGATCTGCCATGTCAACCCCCCCGTGACTTATCCATTCAACATCTCAGGCTGCCGCGTGGTCGAGATCCTCTCCCTGTGCTTCCCCAGTGACCTCGAGGCCGCTACCAAGAAAATCGTGGAGAAGAACTTCGACTTATTTATCGAGAAGGCTATCACCCCAGCCGGCTTGTGTAGAGGGCACTCCAAGGGCTGGACCGTTGAGACCAACGTTGAGCTGCAGGGCGAGCCTGGCAGCAGCTTCTTAATCTATGTCGCCACGCTTGCATGGGACAGTGTAGAGCAGCACCAGGAAAATCGCGAGCTGGATGTCTTCAAAAAGAACGTACAACTCCTCCGCAACCTGCCCGGCTTAACCAGGCTGAATTCTTTCCATGTGCAGACCCAGCCGGTGTACTCTCAATATAATACTTGAAGGCGTTCCAACTTCGGAGTGAGAGGCTTACAGGATTCACGGTTATTTTATAAGAGTAATAGGGTGGTTCGCATGCGTCGCATTTAGGTCTGCTAGCTGACAGTTATTTTACTCTCGAGCTATCAGCAATACTCCGACCGTCCCTCTCTATATCTCTCAAAAATTGTTTACTTCAGTTTTCTTTTCATGCTCACTTGATGCAAATTTCAGGTTTCAGGAATGATGTGATTTTATCTATCTCCCGGATCAAATACACTTGCTCACTCTAAATGACGTGCCTCCTCTTTCGACCAAGGCACCATTTCCCCATCGCGATACATAAAGCATTCTCGATTCTCCATCAAGCTAAGCATCGACGTCAATCCTGCCTCAGCTACTACAACAGCAGCCTTAAACCCAAACTCCTCGTGATGTAGTTCCTCACTCGTAAAATGGTCTAGGATGAGCTCCGCCAGGGCCATGTACTCTCCTAGAATCGCGTCCAATAGCACACGCTCGTCACATACAGCGCCGTGGTCGAATAGGATATGGACTGTGCTCAGATTATCCCCAAGCACGGCGCCTCGCAGAGGCGTTCCTTGTCGGTGTTGGTTCTTATTAACATCAGCGCTCCGCGCAAGCAGCAGCTGGACAATATCGTTGAATCCACGACGGGCTGCATTAAAGAGTGGTGAACCACTGTTCATCACCTCCCTTTCATATGAGGCCCCAGCATCAAGCAGCGCCCGGACCATATCCAAGCGACCATAGTCTGCGTACTTTCCTACTTTGAACAATTCCTTGGCTTCTCCAGGAGCAAATGGAGCTAGATTTTTGTATACAGGCCAGTTATCAGCATAGTGAAGGAGACTGCTGAACAGGAAGCCAACATATTGCGTGTGAACCCCACTCTCCTCATGAATGAGTACATATCATAGACCCTGAACTATATCACCACCACTACCGGCGATGCTGTTGACGGTCTTTGAAGGAGGGTGCGATGCTACCTGGGGGATATCTATACCTCCATTCATAGCAGCACCAAAAATAGCCTGGGGATCAGCTTTACCTTTAAAATGGATTGACTTTAGGGCATAGTGCTGCGAGAAGGTGTTCCAGGGGGTGAGGGAGAAACACCATCAGGTAGACTCTCTTAGAGTAGTTGTAGCATCTCCTTATCTCCAACGAAGGCTGCTGCTTCAATAGCTGCGGGGAATAGGTAGTGGTGGTGTTTTGGATCGTTCCCTTTACTTAAGAGACGTTGAACCAACGCTTTATGCACAACAAACGCAGCAGCGCTAATAAGATTCGCATCAGAGCTCACCATCTTCTCTTTAAGCCCCTCTTCAAGTATAAAATCTGTCCCAAAGGCCCACCCAAGCCCTAACCAGCGGAGAGACTTGAAAATTTGTTGGACATCAAGAACCGTCCCTGATTCATGAGCGATGGTCTGGGCAATGTGACGAACCTCAACGTATCGGCCAACAGCAGGGTCCGGCCAGAAACTACCGTCATAACATCAATGTTATGGAGCTTCCCTGGACTCCAGTGTTCTTTCGATATCTTTGAGGAGCTACACTGCAGAGATCCCATCAACGATATTTGACAAATGGTCAGCTTGTATGTATACCTTCAAGATCCAGAAAACGGGGCATTCACCCAGTCTGCGAATCTCAAGTCACAATGAAGCAAACCACAGCTCGTTACAGATGAGGCTTCCATAGGTATGTAGTCAAGAACATAGGAAAGACCATATTGTTGGTCAACAACGCACTCAGAAAAACTCAGTTGATTTCATAACACCTTGAGGACAACGTGCAATCATCTTGACCAGGGATCCCTCCCTCCCTTTCAGGATCTTTACCAATCCTGCCGGTATGCACGCCTTTTTTTTTTTGGCTTCCTTGTTGGGATTGTCCCTTTTTTTCTTGTTCTGCCATTTATGCGCTTCCTGCAAGGAGTAAGTCAGGGCACACTTCCAGACGTCTAGTGTTTTGCGTCATGCTACATCCTCGTCGCGTACATACTTCGCATCAGAGCATTACCAGAAACTGGTAGCAAGAATCTGCATCCCTGGTTCTGGGTGTATTCTTTGGGGTACCCAACAACCGATCTAGTCGTTCTGCAATCACAATCCCATCAGTAGTAGATCGCACAGTAGATGCATTTTTTTTTATATATACGTTGCTGATATATAAGGTCATTATAAACCTAGATGCAAAAGAGAGCTCCCAATAATAGTCTCCGACAAATCCCATCCAAGAAAGTGCCTAGAGAATCCTCATCCATTTCAAACAAGGCGAGAAAATGTGTCTTCCAGCCCCGAGATCCAATATCCAATCATTACCTCGAGGTTTTCTCGAAATCCAAAGCCCCCGCCGCCGAATCCAGACGGCTCCAGGGGGGCTAGAAAAAGATCATCCAGTGATTAGAGAATACAGAAACGAAAATTTATGCGCCGTTGTTGATGAGCAGGTTCTTGGTGCCGCTGGGGACCTTCTTGATAACATTCTTAAGAGCGGAGGAGGCAATGGTCTCGCAGAGACCGGAGGCGGAGGCGCCGTTGCCGAGGAGGTAGGCGGCGAGACCGGCGACGTGGGGGGAGGCCATGGAGGTTCCGGAGAGGGAGGTAGAGCCGCCTCCGACCTTGACGGACTCGATGGCAACACCGGGGGCGAGGACGTCGACGAGCTCGCCAAAGTTGGAGAAGCTGGCGAAGCCGTCGGTTTTGTCGGTGGCACCGACGGTGCAGGCGCTCTCGGCGGAGGCGGGGGAGGAGGTGCTGGCATCGGCGCCCTCGTTGCCGGCGGCGACGGCGAGGAAGATGCCGGCCTTGGTGATGGCGTCGGCGGCGTCGTTGAGGGCCTGGGAGAAGCCGCCGCCGAGGGACATGTTGACGACGACGCCCTTGGGGCAGTCCTTCTTGGGGGCATCCTCGACGACGAATTCCATACCAGCGACAACACCGGAGGTGGTACCAGAGCCGTCGTTACCGAGGACCTTGACGGCGAAGAGAGAGGTCTTCTTAGCAACGCCGTACTTGGCGCCACCGACAGTGCCGGCAACGTGGCTGCCGTGGCCCTGACCGTCAGTGTTGCTGCTGTCGACGAAGTTCTCGGCCCAGGTGGCACGGCCCTCGAAGTCCTGAAATCAAAAGTCAGCCTCTGCTAGTCTCCAACGACAAGTTAGTCGGCAGGGTCTCCGTTACTTACTTCGTGCTCGGTGTCGATACCGGTATCGACAATGTAGGCGCAGGTGCCGGCACCAGCAGTATCGTCGTAGGTGTAGGTGGTGCTGGTGCTGTTGGTGCCAGAGTTGGAGATACGGGCCAGGCCCCAAGGAGCGTTGGGCTGGGTGGCGGAGATCTTCACGATGGAGTCCTGCTCGACGTACAAGACGTCGGGGTTGTTTCGGAGGTTGTCAAGCTCATCGTCCTCGAGGGAGGCAGCGAAACCGTGGAAGTGGGTGCCGTAGGTGTAGTCGGCATTGGCCTTGATGGAGCTGATGGCAGAGGAGATGGAGAAGCTGGAGGACTGCTTCTGGGGAACCAGCTTCACGATGTACTTGCCGGGAATGGCGTCGGCACCACGGGGGAGGATGAGAGGAGCGGGAGAGTCACGCTGTCTGACGGAAGAGGGGGCGGCCATGGCCAGAGGCATGAGGGCGAGGAGAGTAGAGGCACGCATCTTGGTGGTTGTTGCTGGGTTGGTTCTAAAGATTGAAAAGAATGATATTGGATGGATTGGAGGAGTGGTTGAGAGAATGAATGGATGGATGAGGATGGGATGAGGAGAAGCAGAAACAAGCCGGATGAGGAGGGACAGACAGGTTCTATTTATCTTGGGTTGAGGTTCATCATGAACTGGCCCAGCTTCGATCAATCGACCTGTAGGCATCAAAGACGATCAGGGGGTGATGCTTGTTGATGGTGGCGCCCAGTGCTGCCAACTGGGCCTCATACCCACCCCTCCACCCCCTGATGGAGATATCCCAAGCCTATTCTGTCGTCTCATCTTGGCTTCTCATGATATGCACAGCATCCGCGGTGCTGTCAGGCTGGTGGATGCATCATCGTCCGCTGGAGCAGGTACACAAGGAGCCCAATCCTTGCCAGTGCCGCGGAAAGTTGGAAGGGGGAGGCTCATAGCCGCTGCCGAAGGACATGACACAAGCCTATGCTACGAAAGGAAGCTGTGCAGATCACTCAGGTTTCCTTCCAGCGTGCTGGCCAAAAAGCCCAGCCCAAACGACGTGATGCGGGTGCCGATCTAGTGTCTGGACCTACCGAAACCAGCCAAGCCTGGGGTCCATTAATCCAGGGGCACGATCTGGTGCTACCGTGCATCTCCTTCTGAGCTGTGTGCTTGGATACTAACGTTAGCAGTGGCTCGTTGTCTCTTCAGCTGGCAGGGGAGGCTGCAGCCCAGAGCAGCGGAGGGGCCTTTTGGGGATCGGCAGTCAACGCCCCTGGTCGGTCCTGGGAGAAAGGGTAAGGCTTCTTCTGCATCAGACCTGGGTTTGGGTTCTTGTACGAGAGGCCTTGATTGGGGATTGGCAACTGGGAGGGTAAATTACAAGGCTCAGTTAGACATGGAAATCAACAAATGAAAGCGACTTAACGAGCCAGAGGACCAACAACGCAACGGTACCATCGCTGCTACCGCGGGAGGACGAAATAGCCCGACGAATCTGGCTCGGATCATCGAACTAGAGTTGGGACGCCAGTTTTTGGTGGAGATCAAGCACAACGGAGGCGATGCTTCAGTCGGTTGGTCTGCCACCAGCCAGCCCAATCGGCGCCGAGCTTCATCTAGCGTGTCAGTTAGGGCCAGTTAGAGCCAGAGAGTAAGATCCTTGTTCGAATTCGCTACGTGTCTGGCGCCTGGCATTGGCTCACCGGGCTGTGGCATCGCCGGAATGAAGCGTTTCGTCAACAAACCAGTAAGAAGGGGGAGAGCAGCCTTCGCCGTAGCGCTGCTTACTGTCCCCACGAGCTTCACATGCATTTCTTCGTTTAGGGGGGGATCCATTGCCCATTGTCGCTGCCCCATTGGTGTTCTTACCGATATCCACAGCGATCATCGTTGCTCTAAACACCACCGACAATCAGATCATGCCACAACACACAGACCACCGGCGGCCGGGATTGTTTATTTGTAAGGTTCAATGCGATCCCGGCATGGTGCGGCATTCTATTCCGATTTCTCTGTCCGCCGCGAGGACGCCTCAGTTCCGAAGCCCAGGGAAACGCCCCTAATGAGTGTCTCATAAGTTCAGAGCGCTACGAATACCATCGCGTGGTAAAGTAAACCTGGGGTAGACCTATTCCTAGCAAGCTGAGAAGCCCATCACCGAAACAGCAGTCACACTCTACGTAAGAGTATGAGGATGAATCACAGCCGCGACGAGTACTACCCTCTGCTTCCTCTGACGTACCATGTCGGTATCACTCATACACACACACTGCCAGGCCAGGCAAATGACTGAGCCCTAGGAGGCTCAATCAATCGATTGAGTCAATCAACAGCCCTGCCCAGCCTGGTAAGCTCCACACTGACGATCGCCAGCACGTCAGACCCTGATCTGGACTTCCATCTCGGGAAGCTGGTTTGGCAGTGCAGGCGGCCCTTGCATTCGTCCTCAATGCAGACTCAAAAGTCCCGAAGACGGGAGACTCGCCTTGGGCCTGCCTTTGCCTGCTATCAGCGTCGGTGGACCACTCTGTGATATCGATATCGTAACATCATTCATGCAAAACATGGGCACGGAGACTTTTGCGCCACTTTTTCATCACCGCCGCTACCCACAGACGAACTGGCCAATACCTAACAAGCAGCATAGCCTAAGCTAAGCATTCACTTGTAACACCCGAAACACAGCAGCCGGCCAGCCAGCAGCCATAATTAGGTGAGACAGGAGATTTAGGGGTGGTCCGTTCCTTGTTTGAGCTTTGAAAAAATGACATACCCCCTGGCCCGGCCCCCAACATCCTTCCAGATGGATGTTCCATAATACATTCCAGATGAAACAACGCTCAACTGCCGGATGTGGGATTTGAGCAACTCAGACGCCACTGTTCTGATAAACGCGCTGTGGAGAAGCCAGGCTGATCGGGAGCACATGAATGAGGAATCGTCTACGCGCGAGCAATTTACCGTCGAGTCAATCACTTTAAGCTTACCCACCGGAGCTCCATCCTGTATCGGCATCAATCGTCGCTTGAATGTATGGAGCCAGCAAGGTTCACCTTCCCGAGATGCGGCCGCCCATCATGGAATCTTTGATGGTGAGTGGATAGGAACGACGAGCTTCGAGCTTCGAGACCGTTCGTATACGCGCAGCTATCGCAAAGGCTCCGAGAATGCGGGATTAGCCCATCGTCCAGGCAGCACAGCATCCCGCAACGGGCCCATTTAGTGGGAAAGCATATAACAGTGATGCAAGGCTCTTCGCTTACTTGATAGCATTGACGCAGGGTTGCTTTACTGTCGTTTTCCTTAGTAATACTTGCTTGGAAGAAGCAAAGGTTTGGTTCCGTCTTGCCGGCCAACAAGGTTTGCCGTCCGCGCCGATTACAGAGTTTGTGATAGACATCCCCATCCACCTTGCGAACTTCCTCCGAACATTCCTGGTGATAACACGATAGCTCCGAGAAGCACCTGATTTGATTAAGGCGAACTGAGCTCCCAAGCTAGCAGATTTCGAAGCTTCTTCCAGATAATAGCCCTCAAGCATTGACAAGCTGCAAAGGTTCCTTACTCCTCCACATGTAGTCAAGGTACGGTAGAGAATGGTGAAACGCCTTTACACCTAGCTCGCCATAAACATCACGTCACAGCCTCGGGCCCTACCAGTTTCGTCACATTCTCGCGGGTAGCAGCGGCATGCTTCTTCTCATTAATTCCAATTAAATGGGCTTCAAAAGAACCAGCACGTGTAGTCCGACTTGCCGTTTACACGAAGGCGATACCCATCAACTTGCGGGTCTTTAATCTATATAACCAGGAGTAGCTGGTCTTCGCCCAACGGTAATCAGTCTCACACGAGGTCTGGGGGAAACCTGGTGCTGGGCATCTCTGACTTTCTGGTCCGTGGGATGTTTGATGCTCAAGCACGGCCGCGGGAGCCGTCGGGAACACACACCTCAGCCCCCAAAACTCCGCCATCATCGCCAATGAGGGCTCACTCGTTCGGCCCTCCGAGTGTTTCAGACTTGATTAGACGCAGTAGCATTTACATAAGATATCAACGTCACAGCCACAAGCGAAGGCCTCCAAGAATAAACTACAAAGCTGCGACCTCATTCAAACACTGTCAACCCTTCGCTTTTAGAAAGAACAAGACATCGCGCATCTTCTAACACTATCAGAAATCCTCCCGCCTTACGACCCTCGTAACATGAGACGAGTATGAAGAGATCGGAGCGCACAGATCGGCTCAGCCCCTCCTCCTTCGGTGGCCCCGGCGGCGCATTCGCACCTCCTAATTGATCGCAAAATGACGCTCATCTCTAGAACACTCACTAATAACAGATCAATAATATACATAACGTCCTGGTTCCGCTATGTTCTGTAGTTCATCTCGTATTGCGTCTCATTTGTCTCCTAATTTCAGTCTCAAGCTTCCGTCGGCCGGCCCCCCTCGGAACATGCATGCGTGACAGATCAAGCTCAAACGCAAATAGAGCTAGCTAGGGAAACTCTTGTTTCTCCTCGCCAAGGTTTCTTTGTTAGAACCCAGCCCGAAAGTCAGTGTTTTCCGTGGAGATTCTTCAAAGACGGAGGTTTATCAAGCGAACCATTCTACGGAGCTGTGAGGCATGGAATACAACATGCGCGAGTGGCCTCGTCCCTTGAGGACATCTTCCCATTTACTCCTCTATAGCTTGTATGCAAAGTACGAAAGGCTGGCGTTCAAAGTATCAGATTTTCACATTACTTGTGCTCCAAGTAATCCAACAAGTGCTGCGACTAACACAGATGTGTACTTTCAGGGACTTTTTGACTCACAAACCCCTTCTCATGCGCGCTGTTGTTCCTGCAATTTCCTCGAAATCATGTTCCCAATAAATATTTTGTAATTAGCCAAATTTTGACCTTCCTCTCTCGAGCACGTGTCTTCCTCGAGCAAGTGTCTTCCTCAGGCAGTGCCTTTAATGACCTCGCGTATCACATCCTACCCTACACTTCAGTCCACGGATGTTTACGAACTCTGATCTTCGGGCATAGGATGACTTTGGGTTAAACTGCCTTGATGTTCCATTTATTTATTGAGATAAGAGTAATATCGGTGTTCTGATCCATCCACCTACTCATGAATTCAAAAGTACGCCTGACGTCGAAGCAACAGTGCTTTTTGACCGTAGCTCAAATTGAAGCTGTGTCAAACGAGTCGCTGTACCATCAACTTTCGCTAGCAGAGGGCTCAAACTGTATAATTATTTCGCATATTCAACTGATTTCGTCCGCATGGAGATCTACAAGGTAGCTGCCATCGTGCCTGTGTGCCTCTAATCGACTCTTGCACCGCACTCTCAAATTCTCGAGGCACAATGTCAGGGCTCCCCAAAGAACATCCTCCCAGCGACATCTGACGAAGTTAAACATGACACGCGGACCGGGTTTAGGCTGGACGCATGCCCTCCTCATTCTTCCAATGTGTTGTCGTGACATGGCCAGCGCTTCGTCTCGCAAGGAGGAGGCGGAACACTCGCTCTCGAGGGACGATAGGATAGGATTGGCGGCTTTGCCAAATTCATTTCCTCCGCATGATGGATTCTTTTTCGTCAAAAGGATGAAGCATCTCAACTTGGAAGATGCTCGGCCAAAATGCCATCCAGATGTAGGTGTTCATCCTGTTGGAATACCCTAATAAGGTCCTCCACCACCCATTCCAATCCGATGATCTATTATGACATCCTGATACCAGATCTTGCATTTCCAGCTTCCCGAATTCACCAAATGGAGATCAAGAGTCATATCGCGTGGACTTGCTATCCACATACCAGATCATGTACGGTAAGTGCGAAGTGCTGGCACATTGTCGCTCCAAGGTCCATCAAGGTCATCCAGATTAGAGTGTGCAAGATCACTAAGAGGTGGAAAACCCGCTGGGAGGTGTAGGATGATTTATTTTTATACCCGACCGACCTTCCGTATAGACTCATTTATTCATAGTATCTTCTTTTAACGACATAATAGACTAAGGAGAAACTGCTCCTTCTAATCCAGTGATCCAGCCAGGGCGACCGCACTGAACCTCAGGTCGCCGCCTTCTCTCTCCAAGAACTTGAGAGGACCCAGGGAAAGAGCTTTGGTGCTCAGCACATCCTCGTTCTCCTCCAGGTCACCCCGCTTGATAGGTCCCTTTCGACGGCCATCCAACTCCCAGATGCCGCCCCTTGTATCCTTGACGAAACAAACGTAGTGTAAATCGACGTCGTCCTGAGCATCAGGTGCTGCGGTGTCGCCCACGGAGGCTGCCTCCCTATGGGCTGTGGCGAGGGCGGGTGTTTGTTCAAGGAGGCGCGATCGCTCGGCAGGGGGGAGGTCAATTGACTTTTTGAGCAGACTGTCTAGAGTAGAGCCTTCCTCTATCATCACCCTGTTAGCACCTCATGCGAAGAAAAGAAGGACATAAGAATAGGAGGGGGGGGGCCTTACCGATCAAGTTCCGCGCGGGCCCATTCGACACAGCGTGCAGTAGACCCATGAGGCCGCAAGCATTCCGGATCGTCTGCTTCCACCAAATCACAGGCTCCGAGTCCCCCTTGGCCGTGTACTCTTGGGCGGTGCTATCTTCAGCCATACGGTGGCTCTCGTAGGCTGCGCTGACGGGGAAGACGAGGAGGAGGGCAAGGGCAGGACGGGGGATGAAGGAGAGGAGTTCGGGGTCCGTGAGGGAGTAGACATCGTGCATCTGGAGCGCGGGAGAGACGCCGAGCTTGTGAATCAGGTCGGTCATCAGCTGCGGGTTCGCCTCGAGGGGAATGAAAGCAAGTGCGCCCTGTTGGGGGTCGGGGTCTGTAGTTGTCGACATGTTGTGTTATTTGTCACTGCGGTGAGAAAGCTTCGTTGACGGTATTCCTTGGCTGGTAAGAAGCTCGTTTTGGTGGAAGAATGATGGATAAGCAAAAGCTCTAGGTCAACTAAAGCTTTTCCCCACAGATATTGCTGCCAAACAAGCACTAGTCGGTTCTAGGGGAGCTTGAATTGATGATGCTCTTGATGATGGTGAGGGGTCCTGCGAGGCAGCAGCGCATAACACGTTAATCAGCTGCTGTACCTGCCGGCGGGTAGAGAATGACGTAGCGCGTCGTGGAGGGGTCATCCTCGATTTAGCCTACCCTGTAGTTACGAACCTTCAGGATGCATGATTCATCGCGACAGCCACAGTTCTCATCAACTTTTTAGCACACGTCTCATACCTTCAGAAATGGTCGATTATCCTGGGCCTAAAACTCGATGCAGTAATGCTTCGCGCCCCCTGTCCGCTTCTGTTGACTTTGGTGTGTGTAATTGAACCGGTCTTGGCAGTCTATTATTTGCTAAAATCATTTCCCAGAAAAGGACATTGCTATCTTGTCCCGGAGAAACTTCTTGGAAGATTCAGAAGCTTGTTTTTCCAGGTAAGTGAGTCAGTCAGTCAGATTATAGCTCGCCTTCATCATCAGGCGACTGGGGTATCGACACTCCTGCATGGAACGTGTTTGGGACTACCTAGTCATGACAATGCAGGTTGCAGTAGCTCAGGAGTTGGCTAACGCCTCAGCAAGCGGAGGCAAGCCCACTGGAGGCGACTGTTGACGCTATCAAAAGTCTAACAGCTGGTACCATCCATCCAAAAGGGCAGTGGTCAAGCGAAATTACGTGGTGAACAAGTATTCGGGTAGTGACAGTCTCTTCTATTCGACCCAATGCTGATTTATCATGGCAAATTGTCCCAAATCTCCCATGGGCTGGATTGGAGCCGCTAGGGGATAAGATCAACAAACGGTTCCCTCCGACTAGCACGTGGAGTTCGCACCCTGCACTGGGGAAGACAAGGCGAAGGGTCTGCCTCGTCGTCATCCTCACTAGGTTCAAATGAGCATGGCTCTAGACGTTCAGCGCCGTGGCCTCCGGAGACTTCGGACATCTACCAATCCGATGGCCCTCTAAAGCGACATGTTGACGAACACAGTAGCAAACCGGTATGGGGCTTGAGGAAGGCTGACTGAGGCCAAGTTTAAAAATGCAGAGGACTTGAATCGGGACTCGGGGATTGGAGCGCAGGCCTGAGTCTGAACCAGCTTGTTGGTAACGTGTGGAGGCAGCAGTGTGGCAGGAGGCCATGGGCATAAAACCTTGGACTGTTCCATGGCCTTCGTGATCATGCAGGTTTGTACGGGAAAGGCATCGACGAGGCAGCACCGGCTTAATCCAGAGGCCGCCCGTCTTATTCTTGCTCTGTGCATTGAGCATCAGCGCGCGCACGGCTACAAAGGACTAAACTGGTAAAACTCAATGAGTTTTGAAGAGCGAGGAGCTGAGCGTCTCTCCACGAGCCACTTGGAAGGCGGGGGAGTCTTGCGTTGGGCTCTTTGCATACGATGCGGCTGGGCGGTGGCTAAAGAACGAGCATCGCAGGCAGACACGAATGCCACAGGCTAAGAAAGCAGCCCATCATCAGCTTCAACGAACTGGGTGTCAAGATTCCACCAACATGCAGATGGAGTTAGTAATTAATGCTGGCATAGCCCCAGTCAGACCCCCGTACCATCTCCTCGGATCTACTACGCAGTTTGGGGATGTGTTCCCGAAAGGCCAAAGAAAGCTAGGCTATTAAGGTAGCTACCCAGCTGGATGATACTAGTGTGAACAATTCATCAATGGCTGGCCATAGCTTCGGCACTTTGCATAGAAGCTAATGAGGACTTTTCACCTGGGGTTACACCTTGTGAGGCGGTAATGACGGTGATTATCGTGACGCTGACACCGGGCCTCGACGAAGGGCGAGGAGGCTGAGGAAGGAAGAAAGGGAGGAGGGGGGTTCAGCCAGCCATGGCTAGAGAGCTGAAGAAGCTGAGAAAGAGGAATAGTCGAGATATCGTGAATTAGAGACGGGGTCTAGCCAAGGACAGGGGGGCCCGAGAAATGAGCTGCGCGTTCCCGTGTCACACACACCAGAACAAGATGCAGGGCCGCTACGCAATGGGCAGTCGGGACGAGGCAGGCGCAGGTACAAAGACAAAGGCGAAGAAAAAGAAAGACACCGGAAGCTAGGTAAGATCAGCAACACCGAGCCGCCAGCAGCTCCCCCAAAAACTCGACGAGTCGCATCTTGAAGAAAAGTTTTGGGTGGAGACGCCGATCAACATCTCCAACTTAGCCAATCGCATCCACTCCTCCAGCCCTGACAATCTGCAACTGGGTTAGCCCTGGTCTCACTCGATATTGCCCTGCCTGTGTCTTGTCCTCGACTCCTGCTCTTTGTCTGAGCTGGGTCTTCGAGTGCCGTGCTGGCTGGGCCTTGGCCGGGTGAGGCTCTGGCTTGGGTCATGTTGAGCATCATTGTCCCAACATCGGCCAACTAGATGTGGCTTCCGACAGATGGAGAATCTGCAGGGCCCGGAATTTGATTCAGGCCGTGCCATGATCTGGTTAGGCAAAGAATCGATTTTTGCCGTTTCTTCTGACATCTAGGCACAGGGATGTACCCTCTGACGAAGATCTCGCTCGTATTCCTTGTGCCGCCTCCATGCAGCAGTATCACGGATGTTGGCGCTTGTTTTCCCCCCTCGTTACCCAACAGCTGAAAGAAGGGATACCGCCATTTCTTCGTCATCGGAGTTTTCTTCTTACACAGACCGTATTTTCGTGGTGATACATGCTGTAGACCTGCTTAGAAGCAGCATCCCGGCCGCCCACCATCCTCCCGAGCTCCCTTTTAGTTTATTCACGTCCTGATTACCGTATTGGTCGTCACGGTCAAGGGAGCAACAAACTGATGGCTCATGCGCTGCAGTTAAGTGTGAGGGTTTGAGTGATACCAGACAATGTCGTTGGTCGTAGGTGAATGAGTGCGTTGGCTGCACGTCTGTATGCGTGCACATCTGCATGTCTATCCTGCGGCCGAGTTCACAAGACCACAGCATCGATTGTCTCGCTTCTCAGCTTCAGTGTTGTCTCCCCGTCTCGGCCGCAAGCAGGCAATCGATCAGTTGAGCAAGCCACCGCGAAAGGGAAGCGAGACGCGCAAAGATGGCGTAGGTAGTGGTACATGGCAATCTTGCAAGTTGAGCAAACGTCACTGGCTGATGGATGGCCAGTGACGATGCTTCGGGTGATTTAGATCGATCTCCGCTGCGGTAATTGTTTGATTTCTGGAGTTTGCAGTTGGTAATATTGCATCCCCAGGCTATAGCAGCGATCTTATTGGGCAGTCATGGAGCTCATGATCTACACTGTCCATCAATCTATGCAGCCTCATTCAGCTTGCATTCTGCCTGCTGGTTTGCTTTTCCCCACCCCGTTTCCATCCCAGAATGTAGAGAGTTCCATTCCTGCTGCTAGTCGAAGTGACTTAGCCTATGATCCCAATTGAAGATGAAGCGATTGCCCCGTCTGCGATGCATAAGTGCGCGCTTTTCCGAGCCAGCGGCGGTTCAGCTCGCCCAGGCCTCCGGGCCATGATCCTGCGCTGCCGGTCTGCTATCGGATCCATGATGCTTCCAAGCAGCCCGACATGATGGCAACAAGAGCATGGGTTGCGCAACTGGGGCACGCTAGGACACGCTATGCTCGCTTTTCTGTAGCTAGCCTCTCGCCAGTCACGACTGGGATGCTACATGGTGCACCTTAGACCCGGCCCAGCCTCCACTCAAACGCCAGTCAAACGAGAGAAGCAGCTGAGAATGCGGTTGTCTCTCCCATCTGTATTCCGCGCAGCCGTGTCCTCGCACAGGCAAGGTCTCAGGCAGGGCCCCCCTGTCGATCGAGAACAGACCTAGAGATATTCCACGGCCTGCTCTTGACCTGCGTGCTTCTCCGCCCACGACTCCATGTACCTGCTTGGGCTGCTGCGCTGGCTGGCGGCGGCGCGCACGAACGCATGTGCGGCCGTGGACTGGCATGCAGGCACACGATTCATTCACCTGGGATGGAGGGCTGGATGGGGCGACGGCATGGATGGATAGCCTGGATGGACGGCCAACTGCCTACATGATTTAGCACTACCACCTAATTAACCCACTGCCCAATATTATGACCCTAAAACCTGCTACGCACTGGCTAAATTATGCACATCCCACTTCCTGCTCCTCCCCGGTAGCTTCTGGTGCCAAGCTTTGCCATGTCGTGCTTCCCGCGGCCAGGCCAATACACCCTCGACCCTCCTCTAGACTCTCCAGCTCGGCCTCTCTCACGGATGGCTGCTTGCTGCTGCTTGCCATCCCCACTTGACCTCACGCTCGTACATGTACCTTCACTACGCTCGATACACATATAGTACCTGGCAAGCCACTCGCAGCCTTCCTCTACCTTACCTTGACGCCTCGGTCGTGCCTCCCGCCGTTGGTCTGCCCTTCCTCCTTCCCCGGCTGTAACTATCGAAGTAGTACTTTCCCTCTCCATTTTTCTTTCTCCCTCCTCTCTCTCTTTCATCTTTCCAACCACAGCTTCCATGTCCATTTTGTTCTGCTACTCTTTTCCTTGAATGCGCCTCACCCTCTAGTGGCGAGTTCCTCTTTCCAGGGCTTCCCAAGAGCTTGTATACTTATTAATCATCTGCCATTCTTTATACGACTCGGCGGCCCAGACATCCACCCATTGTTCGCAGCTCTCGTCCAACACACTTACTGCGCTTCGGCCAAGAGACGCACAAGGCACTGGTGGTCGGTCGGTTGGACCAACACGGCCCAGTCAGTCTACCGCCACCGGATGGACGAGATCATCCATCTCTCTCAGCTACCTAATTCTTTCGTCCGCTCTCCTCCATCTTCCTAGCGACACGACAAGCCGACACTGTGAGACCGAACCCAAAGCGAAGCGAAACCACCG